GGGGGGGGGGGGTCACGTATGTATGATAGCCGGGAACACTATGCTTCAGAGCCCAATCCCTATCACCAACAATACCAAGACGACCGACCATTTCTCCATGCCGAAGTACAAGATTACTACCGATAGCGGAGGTATGAAGTAGATGCCCAGCCCGAACCACGTGCAAATCCCTTCGGCCAGGGAGATCTGCGAATACTTGTTGCTCTCGCGGGGCTCGCCGCCGCGGCCGCACAGGCTCGTTATGAAGGTGCCAAAAACCACCGTCCCGCACCCAACGGTCATGGTCCACTTGATGTGCCCCGCGTCAGCCCGTCGGCCGGATAGCAAGGAAGGTCCAGGCCGAGCCGATCCACGAGACTCGGGATGAGGGCAGCTCGCATCGTGCCGACGTAATAAAGCTGATAAACGCCAAAGGCGGACGGGCAACCCCAGACGAGCATGTTGGCGAGGATGGCGACGAGGACTTGCATACAGGCCAGGAGATCGCCGTCGGGACAGTCGGGGGAGTCTTCTTTCTTCTCAATTTTGCTCGAAACGAAGGAGAAGGACGATGATGTGGGGGGAGGGCTAATGAGCATCACTCTTTGCCAGGGACGGTACATCTATAGCTGATCCATGGTGAGAAGCGAAAGTATGGCTGTTGTCGTTGCTGATCGGTAGTGTTTAGGGTGCAGCTGTTTTTGACGACATGTTCATTGACCGTAGACGGGAGGTAGAGAGTACTTCTCGCCCAGGAATAATGATGACTTCTTTTGCTCTTGCTAATTTCTGGTAGAGATTATTCTGTTAACAGTTCTTACCCCGTGTGGAATCTGGAAGTCGGGAAGGAGCGAATGAGCGAAGGAAGGGAGAAAATTTTGAACCAAAAGTACAGAGATTCCTCGCTGCGTCCAAAGCATGACTGACTGAGGCAAAACAACGGGTCCATATGTATAGTACTATTGTCCGTTTCGGCTGCAGCATGCATTCATTGATTGCAACTAGAAGACACCTCTACGATCACGCAAATTCGTACGACCTGACCATATCCGGCTTTGTCCTGTTGTCATACACTTCGCCGACTCAGACCGTCCGTCCGTCCCGGTATTGCGGACCGTTATTAGTCTACATTCAGTTCCCATCGAGTGAATTTATCCACCTAGTGCTCTTCCCAGTCCGGGCTGTAGTGTAGCGGTTCCGTGTATTCAACGAGAGTGCAGCCGTGTGGATTAGCAATCACACGATCTGTACCGTGAAGATGCCGGTGACGGTTGAAACGAGAAACGGCCTGTGTCGCCGCCAGGCTGCCTGCTCCCCCCCTTCGCGCAAATGCCCGGAACGAAAAAGAGGCTGTATGGGACATAGCGATTCCGTGAAACATGCAAGTGATCTAATAGCACCTTCATATGCAAATTCTGTAGACTAGTGCTCAATGGGTATCAAATTGTTTCCTATCAGTTTTCGCTGTCACCCCCCATCTCCGGAGGTAATGCAATGTAATGGACTTTATCTACCACTAGTCCCGCTCACTGCTCCCCATCGGCAATGACGAGCTCGCTCGGATCAACAACCCATTCTTCTTCATCTCCGAATGTGTGTGCCAAGACAAAGGAGCCCTGGATTCTACCCATGCCGTAGGCGGCTCCCGTGTACTGGTCTTGGGTAGGCTTTACGTCGTCCTCCTTGATGATAACCGCCGTCGACAAGAAATTGGCCTGGATGCCCAACCCCATCTGTAGAGGGACACCACCCCAGCTGACTTCAACCTTACCAGACTTTCGCACAACCAGCTGCCCGACATAGCCGCCTTCGCGTGTCATATCTTCTTGCTCTGCGTCCGCATCTGCCTCCTCTCCGTTCTCCTTCTTGACCTTGCTCGCCTCCTCCGATGTCAAGTCGATCCGGGAGGACGACTTTTGCATAGTCGGCTGATCCAGCATCATAACATCGTCATTTTCCGGTTCCGGCTTGACCTTGGGAGCTGGCGCTGCGCTTTTGAGCGGCGGGAGCACGACGGGAAGCTGGAAGAGGAACATGTGCCCTTCGAGCTCAGTGCCGTGGTTGAAGAGCTCGACCAAACGCTCCCGGTCTTGCTGGGCAAAATCTGCCTCTGTTTCCTTGGGCTTCTTAGGCTTCTTCTCCTTCGGCTTTTCTGCTTCCTTTGTGGTGGCCATAACTTTCTTCTTGAGCTCTGGAGACTCGGGAGTCTTGATGACTCCTTCTGGGATGCTCTCCATATTGACGTCCTCCATCTCACCGCCCTCCTTCTTGATGATGGTCCTTGGTACCGCAGTGTCAACCGCTCCTTCATCCTTGATCTGTACTGGTCCTTCTCCGTTGTCGACGAAGAGATCGGAGCTATTGTCGTCGTCGTTGTCGTTATCGCCAGCGGCCACATCGACGCCGGCGTCTTGAGCTTCGATTTCCGCAGCGGTCGCCATAACAACCTCCTCTTCCTCATGCTCGAATCTCCTAATACCCATGGGCATAGGAGCTCTCTTCTTCTTTGTCCGGACCAGACCGTTCTCGAGCTTCTCCTCCTCATCTTCGAGGCTAAGACTGTAAAGCATGTCGGCGTTGATTCTGTTCGCGTCGAAGCCGTTGGATGTCCCGAAACCATCCGCGCCGCCTCCATCACCACCAGAAGAGCCTCCTCCATCTGCGAAAGACTGTTAGTGACGGACAGTATCAAAGTCAGATTAGCCACTACAACTTACAACCCATGCCTCCTGACAAGGGGCCGGCAGCACTTGCGGTGCGACCTCCCCTCATAAGAAAGTTACCTCGCCCGCGCCCACGTCCACCGCCTCTTCCACGCCCGCGGTTCGCCCGGGCTAATCGCCTGCTCTCTTGTTCATTTCGGATGTCCTGTAACCTCTGTTGTTCTTCTGCAATACGCTGTCTCTCTGCCTCGCCTCTTCTAACGGCCTTAGGTTTGAACTTGAGGCCCGGCTTGGCGGCTGACGAAGCTGCTGGGGTCGCCGCTGACGATGTTGATGTCGAGGGTGCTGCTGAAGCCGGCGCGGGCGTGGCTGCTGGGGTGGCTGATGATCCTGAGGCGGGTGTCTCCGCGGCGGCGGCAGGGCGGCGGCCGCCCCGCGGCGCCAAGCGTCCTCTACTCGGGGGCTGTGACATAGCTTGGGTGACCGTGATTTAATTCGGACGTGTGTTTCGTAGTATGGTCGCTGAGATGTGATTTATACGAAATGCTGGATGAACGCGGCAATTGCCGATGCCGGTTGCGTTGTGAATAGGAATGCGGTGAAATGATAGTATTCGTTTCCTTGTAGTATGTAGTGATCTGCGATGAGTTGAATGCTTGGTTAAATAATCGGAATTGAAATTGCCAATCGTGACGGTTCACGGAATGGATGGTTGGCAACTTACGAACAACGGGAAGTGATTTGAGGCGCTGCGGGGCAGTTTCGGAACCAGAAAAAAAAAATGGATTTAATTGATAAGCAGTGCAGCCTGGTGCCGATAAGAAGACGTTATTGCTATCGGAACAGCTTATACTAGCACGTTGACCCATTTTGGGCGGTTGTGTTACACAGTGAACTTCCGTACAGCGACTAAGCTGCATGGTTCAAATAGCACGGCTAATTGCGACGCCGCAAGTCATCCGTTATCAATAACACGTTGATTATTCAGTGTACACTCCGGTCACTGGAGCTTCCGAGAGCGGACAAGCAGTTGTTGCTTTTAACAACTTTAGTATGGATCCTCATCTTCTTCGAATACCTAAAATGAGGTGACGCTGTTGCGCATTGTCTCACCACCATGAACTCGCCATTTCCCAAATCCTCGTCGGCAGCGGGCGAGGGCAAGATTATCGCCCGGCTTCAACCCGATGGAGTCTCTGGCTTGGAGACCATCACCTACCAGTATCCACTCAAGCTCATCTCCCCATCAAAGCCGGCCGAGGACAAGAGCGTTCTGGTGTTCTTACTTTCCTACGGCGGTGGTCTGGTTGGTGGTGACCAGGTCAACCTCTCAATCCAGGTCCATCCACAAGCAAAGTTGACCATTGTCACCCAGGGCCATACCAAGGTCTTCACCTCTACGAAAACCGATATTGTGACGCGCCAGACAATGCGCGCACAAGTAGCATCAGGCGGTGCTCTTTGTCTCTTACCGGATCCCGTCCAGCCGTTCGCGGGTAGTGTTTACGAGCAGACGCAAATCTTCGAGCTGGCCAAGGATGCCTCGCTCTGTCTCTTGGACTGGGTCACTCAGGGGCGGTCGGCTCGTGGAGAGGACTGGAGCTTTGTTCGATGGCTTGGTCGCAACGAGGTGTGGACGCTGCCGGGAGGCGATGATAGCGGAGCTCGACTTCTTGTGCGAGACTCCCTTCTCCTGGACAGTGCACAGGCGCACCCACAGATGAAGACATTGCGTGAGTCGATGCATGCAATAGGCATTATGGGTACACTTATCTTGCGAGGGCCGAAAATGAAGTCCCTGGGCGAATTCTTCTTAGCCGAATTCACTGCTTTGCCGCGAATTGGAGCACGAGACTGGCGGAGTGAGGATGCGAAGAAGGCGGAGGTCATCGAGGGTCTGTCGACGGCGGAGACGTGGCGGCGTGACAGACTCAAGATGGAGAAGGAGAGTGGTCTGCTTTGGTCCGCTGCTCTTGTCAGGGGCTGCGTGGTGGTTAAGTTTGGTGCTCCAGAGGTTGAAGCTGGGAGAACATGGATAGGATCGATGCTTGTGCAGGAGGGGAGCATCGGTGAGATCTTTGGAGACCATGCACTATTATGTGTTAGATGAATGTGAGGAGATGTATATTCTGCGTTTCAAATTCGTATTTGAAGTTTGGTACCACGATTCAGCATATGCTATAACGGTCGGTGACAGGCACTATTAATATATACTGTCTTGAACACAAAGACGCAAGGGGAAAGCAAGTATCACACTTGAATCCATGTGAGTATCTGGAGGAAGGGGAATGAAGCCAGTAAGATGAGAAAAGAACGTGGCCTTCATTCTGTGTGAAGGGGCTCAGGGTTATTGTACGATGAAGTTGGCAGGAGCAGTGAATAATCATAGGTACGCATTGATATGATATGATGTCTTCTTCACAATGAACCAACCGCTCGAATTCCATCCATGTATGGACAATGAAGGGCCCAATCGCATTCTGCACGGTCGATTGTACCTGCAGGTCCAAGAGAACCGCTTGCAAGGACATTGTTGGTTGCAGCGGCTAGAAACACTGTCACCTACCGAATCGCCCCTGAAGAGGGTGGCGTTGAGGTTTCTATGAGAGAGTCTACATAGTAGTTAGGTAAATACATATCAGCTCTCTTAACGAAGTGAAACATTCGCAACCGGTGGCCAGCCGTGCATTCTTAACAAAGCGCAGTATCTAAGACTGACTGCAAATGGAAATTCTCATGGACTCATAGATGTGAACCGTTAAAGCGCAAGTAGCAAACCGAGACAGAGATATTTCAAAACGGAGCTTGCAAGTTGGAAAGTGCTGCCTAGTACACTACTGGTGTTGCAGTAGACAGCTTATTCATCAGCCAAGGGACTGGAAGGTCAGGTCAGCGACTCAGCGTACATTGTAGCACCGGAACTGAAGTGTTGACAAGCTGGAATAAAGTGGGGCTCCATTAGGTCGGGAACCGCCAAAATAATGTCGTGTGATGGGCGAGGAGTCCATGCAGCAACTGCAACCTCCCACTCGACGCGTCAATACCTTACCTAAGACCTTCCACCGAACAGAGTCGCCGGGTCGCTCTCTTCACCACGCCGCTCCGCCATCATCGCCCACAGATGTAATGACGACGACGACCCGACAGCCCCTCATGGAGACCACCGATAATACTGCGACGAGCTCGCCCACTCCCACTTCAACTGCGCGCCGCAGTGGACGCGTCACGAAAGCCCCCGCCAAGTTTACCCCCGAACCAACGTCGCTCAGTAAGCGCAAGCGTGCATCGGAAAATGACGACGGCGAGGACGGCGAAAATGAATCGCCCGAAGAAGGCCCTGATGAAGACGACGATCCCGACGCCAGTGAAGTTGAGCAGGAGCGCCAGCGGTCCAGGAAGAGGAAACCGTCATCCCAGTCGGCAAAGGCGAAGAAACCGGCTTTGAAAAAGCCAAAGATCAATGGAGATGCGCCATCGCGTCCCCAAACACCAGCAGAAACGCCTGCGTCCGCGCCCGCGCTGGCACTGAACAACCATGCCAGCCTTCCTAGTCGGCCCAAGAAGTCTGCTCGAGTTGCAATCGCCCAACCTGAGGGAGAGGGCCTCTACAGTCAGCCACCCTTTCAGTCCGAATCCCAGACAGTGCGCTGGCGCATAGTGTTCTTCCCATTGCTGACAAGGTCCAACAGCCGATATTTTTAGGTCCGACGACCGACCCAACGAAGTTGCGACCCGGTGGTATCACCAATACCAGGCTGACCACGCTGAGGCCCTTACCGACCTCGTCAACTGCATCCTTTTGTCTGCCGGATGCGACCAGCGAGTGACGGAGGATGATATCAGAGACCCTGATAACTGCCAGAACCGATTGGCGGATCTACAAAACGTTTATGCCGAGGTATGTCACTCCAAGCTCCCATTCATAGCAAGCGTGTCTGTACTAACACGTGTATCGTATTGTCATAGGTGGGCATCACGGATTACCCCTTGATTTCACGGGCGCGATCTACTAGATCATTCCGCGATCTTCTAGTCGGCTTTTTCAGATCCCTGGTGGACGTTTTGCATGAAACAGATGCCCTGTACAAGGATGTACAAATACTGGAGAACATTTCCAGATGGGTGGCATCCATGTCCTCTTCGACGCTTCGCCCATTCAGACATACAGCCACCACGATTGCGCTTGCTATTCAAACGGCACTTGTCAAGGCGGCGGGGATCTTGGATGGGCGTATCAGTAATTACATGCAGCAGCTCGAGAAGACGAAGGGCAAAGGATCCAAGAATGCCGGCCTTGTCGAATCTATACAACAAAACCTCACAGACGCCGAACACTATCGGGATGTTTGCAAGGACCAGATCCAGGACATCTTCGATACTGTCTTCGTTCACCGATACCGCGATATCGATGCAAAAATACGGACCGAGTGTGTTGAGGCGCTCGGCAACTGGATTCATATGCTCCCCACTGTGTTCATGGAGCCCGAGTACCTTCGATACCTCGGCTGGATGCTTTCCGACGTGATGCCACAAACAAGACACGAGGTCTTGAAGCAACTGGGAAGGATATTCAAGAACCATGCCGAAAAGCTCGGTCATTTCATTGATCGATTCCGGCCACGACTGGTTGAGATGGCCACCAAGGATTCCGATGTCAACGTGCGCGTAGTAGCCATCAGCAACATCCAGATCCTGAAAGATTCTGGCAATCTCGAACCGGACGAGATTGACTCTATCGGGCGTCTGATTTTTGACCCTGAACTGCGCATCCGCAAAGCTGTTCTTGACTTCTTTGCTGGGTGTGTAAATGACTCCATTGAGAACAAGGTTGAAGAAATCGGAGGCGAGGACGCGATCGACGAGTTGTTTCAGGACCAGGATGAGGAGGACTTCAGCTCGCCACGGAGCGATTGGGTCAGTATCAAGTGCCTCGCTGAGCTCCTCGCTGCCTATGATACACAAATTGAGGAGGAGAACCCCGTTGAGCCTCCGCGTAATCTCGATATCGCAGTCGATGCGATTCCAGCTGTCGCCCCCGAGACCAGAATCTCGCTGGCTGGACACGTGTTGTATGAGAAGATTGACCAGCTGAAAAACTGGGAGTTGCTATCCGGCTATCTCCTGTACGACCACTCTTCTAGCGCCAGCTCCAAATCTGCATCAAAGGGGGGCTCAGTTGAGACGGCCCTGCGGAGAGCAGTCGCACCGGAAGGCAGGGAAGAAGCTATACTGCTGGAGGTCCTCGCTTCTGCCGTGCGATCGAGCCTTGCAGCTCCTGCTGAGCTTGACAAGAGCAAAAAGCACTTGCGATCAGAAGGCATCCATCTTATCGGCCCAGAAGAGGCTGCTCGTAAGCTTGCTTCCATCATTCCCAAGCTTCTAAGCAAGTATGGGGCGGATGCCAGCACGGCCGTTACCGTGCTACGACTCGAACATTCCCTGGATCTTAACGTTTATCAGCAACTCGGCCAAGATTCGACCACGTACGACAGGTTATTAAACGGGATTTGCACCCAGTTCGATAGGCATATCGATAGAGGTGTGTTGGCAGAAACAACCACGGCACTGTTACATGGAAGAAAGTACCCCGCGTTGGAGGAGACGATAGATGAGAAGGTGTCAGAGCTGTGGGATAAGACCATCAACAAACTTCGGCAGTTTGACAAGTCTAGCGAGCTGGGTATTCGTCGTAACCTTGAGGAGCCTGCCATTATTGAACTTGGCAATATCCTTCTGAAGACCAGCAAACTCGTTACACTTAAGGACTGTATCGAGGTGCTGGAGGCAGACGGCCAGGTGGAGGGCTCCGAGTCTCCAGCTATTGAGATTCTTATCCGTATTGTTATGCGTGGCAAGCTCGACCAGGTTGACGAGAACTTGGATGACCCCGAAGACGAAGCAGTTTCTTTCGCCGTCAAGACATGCCTCTTCTACTTTATGTGGAAGGCTCGTGTCCTGAGAGACGCGGTCAGCGAGCAGAGGCCTATTCCCGCCCTTCAGATCGAACGTCTTAATACCCTGCGCCAGTCCTTCGTCAGGAACCTCGTCTGGACACTTTCCTCACGTGGAACTAACGATGACCTGCGCCTCTTTGCCACCGGTGCCCTCTGTGACTTGCACGTCGCCTTTGCCTCAGTCCGACGCGTTATCGAGCGCAACGCCGCTGAGGGATCCGCCGTCGACTACTCGTTGATCAACCCGCTCCTGGACCCCATCGACCCCGGACTCACGCGCGAGCTTATCGAAATCTTTACCGCCGCCGAGCGCGCTTACGCCCGCTGCATCAACAGGCAACTGAACAACCCAGGCGAAGACGAGGGGCCTATCGAGCATTTCTCCTCGGACGAGGAGGATGACGAAGACGAAGACGACAGCGATCTCACGCCCGTGCAGAAGAAGAGGAAAGAACTTAAGGCGGAACGGGTTCTCTGCGAGCTCACGGGTAAGATGGTGCTCGCCATCGTGGCCAAGGTGCTCGACCAGGGCGGCTCGGGACAGGGTGCAGCCGGCAAGATCAAGAAGCGCATGGTCAGGAACCAAAACAAGCTGGGTCACAACTTTAAGGAGACGCTGGCGTATCTCGTGGATGAAGGCCGGGCGGCGAGGGTAAGGGAAGCAGCTGCCAAAGCGGCCGGCAAGAAGAAGAGACCGGCTCTTGCCGCGCCTGGCTCAAGGGCTCGAGGCAGCAGACCGGCGGCTGCCGGAAACTCTGGTGTTTCGGTGGCTGGGAAGAAGCAGGCGCTCAGTGCGGAGATCATCACTGCGGAGGATAATGATTCAGAGCTATCGGATATCGAAATCGAGGAGGAGGAGCCCGAGGCCGTTCCCGATCCTGAAGAGAGAACCGAATTAGTTAATGATCCTATTGAGGATCACGATGAGGATGAAGGCGGGGAGGGAGACGGCAAGAGTAAGAAGGATGATGATGGTGACGAAGACATGGATGAGGAGTAGATCTGCTTTGGGCGGGCAGTTATGGTAGGTAATCAAACACCACAGGGTGATGGTTTCATGGATGGGAAGAGACAAGATGCGACTCAGACTCTATGTTCATTTAAATGATTTGGCGGCGAGCATGCAGGCAGGCTTTGTTTTGAGAACTCCAAGGACTTTAATTGTTTCGTACATTATCATGTTCTCTCTTTCCGTTCCTAGAGTCGCTATTATAATGGATTCGAAAAAAGCGGTTACGGTGGTCATGGGTTCAGACATAGTGGGGAGTGACTTTGGAGAGCTTCTGTTGAGTCGTACAGCAAAGCTTATTGCGACAAACGGTGGCGCGTAATAGTCTTGCTTGATCGATATAGATCAACAAGTACTTATCATCCATTCATACACATATCTTGGTGCCAAACATCCCAAACACCCTCACCCACCCACCCGCTGCTCCATCCGTCTTGGGCAGCCCATCATCGTCCTCCGACACCCGAACGCCATACTGCTTCAAGCAGCAACTGAACGGTTTGTTAGAAAGCTCTTCTTCCCCTTGATTCTGCTGATGCTGCTGCTGCTGCTGCTGCTGCTGCTCGCCATCTGAGTCCTCAAGCGGCGGCTTCAAATTCTCCAATTGTGCCACCGTCGTCGCCTTCTTTCCCTTGCGCTTTTTCGTTATCCTGCCATTCCCATTAATATCCTCATCCTCGCCCTTGCCCTCGTCTCTCTCCTCCCTCTTTTTGACCGCTGCACGAGCTTTATCAGCCTTGAGCTCCTCCAGGTTTCCCCAGAGAGTAAACATCCTCTCCCGCAGCGTAGCCAGAGTATGAGGGTCTCGGCGGAGGTTAACGGCGTCCAGACCGGTGAGACATTGTGCTTCTGTATTATCTACCGTCACCCATAGCCTGGCTCTTGTTTTGGGGTCACGGTCACATTTCCGTGTTTTGTCTTTGTCCATCGCAGCTACGGTTGCGGGCAATGATGGGGTGCTGGCGTCCTCAAGGAGAAGGGCGAAGCGCCATTCCCACGTTCGGCCTTTGTCTTGATCTTCATCGTCTGAAGCGTCCATGGTTGAGTTGAGGCTGTCTTGATCACTTTCGTCATCGTCATCATCGTGATCATTGTCCGACAATATATCAAACTCAGTCCACTTCCTTCCACAAGCAAAATCCTCTAGGTTGCACGGGTGGAAGTCCACGACGCGGACACAAGCATTATACTTGGTATTGGTAAACGGCAGCGGGATCTTGACGGGCTGGCCATTGACCATTGTCTCGTACATGACCGGTTCCAGAATAGACGCAAGCGTCGACACGGGCTTCGGATGCGCTTCGCAGGTGACGAGCTCATTCAAGCCCAGGGCAACCTTTTCTTGCTCCTCGACTGCCTTCTTCTCCAACTCAGCACGGTGCAGTTTGCGCCGTTCCTTGGCCCTGAACTTCTTGCCAGGGGGCTGGCCATCGAGGAGTACTTCATCGCTGCTGCCGGCTCTAGCAAATTTTCGCTTAGCCCCAGCCTCCTGCGCGGCCTTGACCGCTAGGATCTGCGTCTTTTTCTCCTGGGAGTAATCGCGCCAGCGGCGGACGGCCTCTTTCAAGCGCGGGTCGAATTTTACTTTGGTAACGCTGGGGTCAGGCGCGACGATGTCGAGGATCTCAACGTTGACTTTCCGGGCGGACGCGTTGCGCTCCTCCCTGAGAAAGCCCTCAAGGTGCGCGCCATTGCGGCCGAACTTGACTTGCACGTTGCGCAGCGAGAGCCAGGTGCCGGCTGAAACGCCGGCTTCGCGGATGAAGTCGGCATGCGCGTCGTAGCAGCTTATTTGGATGGTTCGTTTGCCGTAAGGGCCGACCCATGGGTGTTGTTGGGCGGCTTCTGGGTTGTTGTCTTCGGGATAGGCGTCGGCTGGCCTGGCTGCTGATGCGAGGTCTCTAACCCCTTCCCAGGTGTAATGGAAGAAAAAGTCGTTTTCGGTGTAGTCGCTGAGGTAGAGGGTGATTCGGCCCATTTCATCCGTGTAAGGATCTTTGGCAACTTGGCCGATTAGGTCATAGAAGTTGCCGTCCGTGACATCCTTCAAGAGACTAAACTTGTCTTTGACGTTCAGAGAAACTGTGACCCTTTGTTGGTACTCGGCCTCGTCGGGAACGTCATACTTGTCGATCACATTGTATAAGTATGACACATACTGGTGGTGTTCCTCCTTCAACAGCTTGTGGCTTTCACCTGGTTTTGGGGGCAAGAGTGCTACCTGTGCTGAAGCGGGATAGACGGGAATTGTTGCTGCCTTGTAAACGCAAACGGTGGTGATCTTGCTGGTGATGAGAGACTTTGGGTTGGACTTGAACCTCTGAACTTTTGCGCTTAGAACAACAAGCACGTCTCCGGCGCCGACTTCGGGCATGCGTGCCTCGGGGCGGAAGATGACGAGCTCAACTCCGGCCGATTCATCTTCAATGGACAAGTCAGAGATGGTCAGGGTGCACTTCCAGTCCGATCCGTGTGTCGCGACGGGTGCTCGGCAGTCCTTAAGAACACCAATGACATTGACCATAGACCCGGGCTGGGCATCTCCGTCATCGTCGAGAATGGCTCGTAGGGGTGTAAGCGTTGACGGAAAAAGTGGTGGCTTTGCCTTGGCCGCCGGTTTCCTGTCTCTGAGCGGGCGCATCATCTGGATATCCCAACTCTCCGCTCCGATTACATGGCGGCGAATGATGATGTGGATGAAACACCACCAGCGGTTGGTCGTGATAGTTACCAACCGTAGGGCAAGTTGGGGACTTCAGTGTTATACACTACGTACATTACGCGTTCACTTTACGCGTCTTGAAGGCGGAAATGGCACCTGCCCAATCGCCAAGCTTGCGCGACCGCATGTGCAGGGCAAGGGTCTTGGCCGCCCGTCGGGCCAGACCATCCGACTTGAAGCGCTGTGCTTTCAGCAAGCCTTGCAGGGCTACGGTAATGGTTAGACGTATGGTCTGTGCTTTCTCTTACCTACCCAGTACAGTCATGAGGGGTCGGGGACTCCCGAACAGGGCCTTGCAGGCCAGCCTCCCAACACAACCAACCTGAAGCCTGGAGGTAGCAAAGACGTATCTACCTACCTAGGTACCTAGCCCAGACGGTGGGAGGTTGAGAGTGGCCTTTTGACGTCGTTCTTTCAAGTAACTGAAACATGTCGTAGTCATTCAGGGAAACGACAGATTGCGGCTCGACGAACGCGGCCTGAGGTCGATGAAGTTATGACGGGCAGTGTGTAACCTGCAACGAAACAATCCATGACGTTCACAAGCAAAATGGAAGGAATGAGAAGAATGCCTGGAGGGTCCAGCCGCTCTGAGGTGGGGCCATCCAATGGTGGACAACTTCCTGCACTCCAGAACAGCAGACAAGTTACAAAGCTGCTCAAGTGGCCTGTGCTCGAGCTTGGCTCTCTTCCATCCCCACTTTCAGAAGCCAGACTCAGTCTTTTCGCTACAGCGGGCTGGTGGCATTGGGCGCTGTGGGCAGTGACTGGGCCACCTTCAGGCCTGAGGGGCAGCTGTGACTGAGTGGCAGGCAGGGCACAGTGACTGCCCTGCCTGCACTCGGACTTTCGTGGAGGTGGAAAGTGCTGGTAGAGGAGGGGACAAGCCGCCGCCGCATTCTTGTTTCCGCTTTCTGCTCGAGGCGCGGGCGAACTCCCAAATTCTTTCATCGTCGCTCCTCAAAAAACACACAACTCACCTGCCCCATCCATCCCCAAAACCCAATCCTTCTCTGACGTTTTCCGTCTCGCCGACAACGCACCCATCCTCTCCTTCGTCCCATTCAGGATTGCTTTGGCAGGACCACATCAGCTGGGCTCTTCCAATTCTTCGGCTTCTTTGATCGCATATACCTCCCTTTGAACGGCTCGCAGCAACTTCGTCGCCGGGGCTTCATCGATTGCATCGCCCCTCGTTTGCCGCCTCCATATCACACCTCCATCACCCATCCGTCTGGACACCGTCGTCTCGACATCACATCGCAACCATGGCTGACCGGTACATTCCCGAGCATCGTCGCACCCAGTTCAAGGCCAAGAGCGCCTTCAAGCCCGATGAGCTTCGTCGCCGTCGTGAGGAACAGCAGGTCGAGATTCGCAAGGCGAAGCGCGAGGAGAACTTGGCCAAGAGGCGCGGTATTGGTGCTGGCGACTCGCGGCCTGGAGCTTCCCTTGGTGCCGCCCCCGACAGTGACGATGAGAACCCTCCCACCGAGTCTCAGGTATGCAAACCTCTACTTTACTCCCCTTACATGATCGGCCACAATTTTGCTACTGCGTCCGTCCATCGCTTCTCCCTTCTCTCCCCCACGTGTACCCCGCCGATGATGGTGATGCTTGAGCCACAAACCCCCAGGCAGTGCCGAACCTGCATTCAAGCTGCGCGCGCAAACTTGAACATTGTACAAACGAAAATCACCCTACATTCCGTCACGTCCCCAATCTTTGTTATAGCTGATCTCAACATGCTAACCAGTTGTCATAGTTGAGCGAGGACCTTCCCAAGATGGTCGAGGGTGTCTTCTCCAGTGAGATCGATAAGCAAATTCAGGCGACCACTAAGTTCAGAAAGCTGCTCAGCAAGGAGCGCAACCCTCCCATTGAGGAGGTTATCAAGACCGGCGTCGTTGGTCGCTTCGTCGAGTTTCTCCGCTCCCCCCACACCCTGGTTCAGTTCGAGGCCGCTTGGGCCCTTACCAACATTGCTTCGGGCTCTGCCACTCAAACCCAGGTTGTCATCGAAGCTGGTGCTGTTCCCATCTTCGTCGAGCTTCTCGGAAGCCCCGAGCCTGATGTGCGTGAACAGGCTGTTTGGGCTCTTGGCAATATTGCTGGCGATAGCCCTCAGTGCCGTGATTACGTTCTCAGCTGCGGTGCTCTGCGTCCTCTGTTGACCCTCCTTGGTGATAGCCGCAAACTTAGCATGCTCAGGAATGCTACCTGGACTCTCAGTAACTTCTGCCGTGGCAAGACTCCTCAGCCCGACTGGAACACGGTTAGTTCTCTCGATCACGAACAATCTAGTATGTCTACTGATCCATCATAGATCGCCCCTGCTTTGCCAGTTCTCGCCAAGCTCGTCTACTCGCTCGACGACGAGGTTCTTATTGACGCTTGCTGGGCCATCTCCTACCTCTCGGATGGATCCAACGACAAGATCCAGGCGGTTATTGAAGCTGGCATTCCCAGGCGTCTCGTTGAGCTCCTCATGCACGCTTCCACCTCTGTTCAGACGCCCGCGCTTCGATCCGTTGGTAACATTGTGACGGGAGACGATGTTCAGACCCAGGTTATCATTAACTGCGGTGCCCTTCCCTGCCTCCTGTCGCTTCTGAGCTCCAACAAGGATGGCATCCGCAAGGAGGCTTGCTGGACCATCAGCAACATCACTGCTGGAAACTCGGCTCAGATCCAATCTGTCATTGACGCCAACATCATCCCTCCTTTGATCCACCTTCTCTCCCACGCCGATCTCAAGACCCGTAAGGAGGCCTGCTGGGCTATCAGCAACGCGACTTCGGGTGGTCTCCAGAAGCCCGATCAGATCAGGTACTTGGTTGCTCAAGGCTGCATCAAGCCGCTCTGCGACCTCCTGGCTTGCCCCGACAACAAGATTATCCAGGTTGCCCTGGATGGTCTTGAGAATATTCTCAAGGTTGGCGAGCTCGATAAGAACGCCGCTGGCGATGGCCCTGACTCGATCAACCGTTATGCCCTGTTTATCGAGGAATGCGGAGGAATGGAGAAGATTCACGACTGCCAGACGAACGCCAACGAGGAGATCTACATGAAGGCGTACAACATCATTGAAAAGTACTTCTCCGACGAGGACGAGGCCGGTGATGAGGCCATGGGCGCTCAGCAGCAGTTTGGATTCGGCGCTTCCGGGGGTGCCCAGCAGGGTGGCTTCAACTTTGGTGCTAACGGCACCGAGTCGATGGACATGTAAAATGCTGTACGATCCGTCTAGTTCCTTTTGCGAAGGGGATGGTTGGGTCAAAGATTGGGATGAGGGGACCCAGATGCGATGTTTATCACGGCACCATCTGGGAAATCCTACCCTAAACGTCTTACCCCCATCAGCCTTTCGGCTCCCCCATACGAGTTCATTCGCCCACACACAAGTCACAACACGGCAGAACTATATTGCTTCAATCTCATAGTGCCCCCTCACGCTTATCCACCACACCATACCCCTTGAATTGGCGTTATCAAAGTTATGTTTAAAAGAGAAAGGCGAGGAGAAGTAGACGCACATGGAGGCCGATTGGTCCTTTGGTGCGAAAGCTCGAACCTGATGAGGACACGATGATGCGTTTTATGATGAAGGGAGAGTAAATTAAAGGGTCTGAATGGTAGCTTGAAAGCTCCAACCCTATAGCCATGTTCGGACGCGCAGTGATCAAGCCAAGGAGAAGGGAGCGGGAGCCTCGGGGCCGATGGAAAGGGCCGTCCAGGGGATGGGAAGTATTCACAGCCTCTAATGGTCATTGCTAGTGCATGGCCAGAGAGTAGAGGTCACAGTTGGTTTGTCGGGGCAGTTGGCTATGCAGTCACGACCAAGTGGGCTCAACGACACCAATTATAGCGAGTATCTAGTCAACATAGCTAGCTATATGCTCAGCAAGTTTACATGCTTCTCAAAACGCTTCTAGGTCCTATCCGCTAGACGTAGGTTGTTCACGCCGTCCCTGCCACCATCAACTAACAGGGTTAGGGTTATTGCGGCCCCATTCTCCATGCCACTGACCTTCCATCTGAATGAAGACATCGCGGGAAGTGCGCAGAGTAATGAAGGTAGTTGTACATGATAAACGCGGGTATAGTTCCAGCATATATCTTTAATCTTACGACTTGGAAGATCACACAAATCGTCGTCCTTGTACGGCACGCATAGTTTATGTAAGCGGTTGTACACACGTGATGACGTTTGGATCTAGGCCTTTCAGGTTACCATTTCCATGCACGTTCCTCTTTTGCCAACTTCATCATCACATCCATGTAGCACAAAGCGTCGGCGTTCTCGGACTTCCATCGTGCTAGCCATCTCATGTCGGCCTGCTGTGCTACATAATGGCGGATTCCACTTTCTTGACCAGCTTGTCGTACGTCTTTGGCTGGACGTACTTCACCTGCTGGTCTCTCTCGTTCTATCCCCAATCAATCCTCAACTTCTCGCGCAAGTCAACATCGGGAACCACTATAGACTTTCCTCTCATAAACTCGCTAGGTCAGTTCAAGCTTCTTCACTCACATGAATTACCAGAAAAATGAATCAAGCTTTCTAAAACGAATAAGCAGGTTTCTTCGCCTATACCATCTCCAACATCGCCTTTGCGTATTCCCCCTTGATCCGCGCCCAGTACGCAGTCCGTTACAAGGGCTTGACGCCAACGGTCCAGCTCAACGACATCACCTTTGCCTTCCACGGCCTCATCCTCTGCTTCGTCACCGTCAGTCAGTACCTCTTCCCTCGCGCGTGGGGCTTCGCGCCGAGCCTCGGCAGCCGTCCCAGCCGCTTCATTCTGGGAACCTTCTTTGGCTGCGTAGCTGGGGCGCTCATCATCATTGTCCGGGTGTGGGCCTCGCCAGTTCGCAACGATACAAGCGGCGCGGCAGTGACGGAAGGTGGCTGGGTCTGGCTAGACGCCATCTACGCCGTTTCGTATGTCAAGCTCGTTGTTACCTTGATCAAGTATACGCCGCAGGTTATTGTCAACTACCGCAACCGGTCGACCGAGGGGTGGTCCATCTTGCAGATTCTGTTGGATTTCGGCGGCGGGATTTTGAGTATTGCGCAGCAGGCTATTGATAGTTACCAGCAGGGCGACTGGTCGGGCATCACAGGGAACCCGGTCAAATTCGCGTTGGGGAACGTGTCGATGATTTATGACTTGGTGTTTATCGTGCAGCATTATGTGCTTTATCGTCATGCAGCGGGAGCAAAGGCGGATGGTGGTGAGGGGGACTCTGATCTGGACCCATTGCTGAGAGAGGATGTGAGGGGAGGCGGTGATGAGGAGAGACGGATTCAGTGAGAGGGATGACTACCTCCACGTCTCATTTATACACACCTCCACATCGTGTCCAGTCCAGCGCGCTCGATGACGAGTTGTTAAGATGGCCTTCGCGTTGGAGGTATTTTACTCTGCCTTGTCGACGTCTACGGTCGTGTCTCCTACTAACTTTGGCGGCGGGTTTCATTTCGTTTGGAGGACCCGGGATCTGTTGGGTTCGATGCAGTGTCATCTTATTTGCATCTGCAAGGAACTTCCGGATGCAACTCGGAAACATTTCATTTGACTGTCATCTAAGACAGCCGGGAAAGGAAACAGCCCAAAAATCCAAGTCGATAACCCCAACGCATCAAAGCTGCGTGATCTCGCTGGCAAGTTCTAACGTTCTTGCGCACCTGCTTCCTTCCGCTGCAAGACGGAGCTGCCTCTCTAGGCTTGCCACATTGCAACACGCAACGAAGAAAGGGGTTATGTTCTGGGTCGTTCTCTTCCCTCTCGTTCGCTCCCACACCACTCAGGAAGTAGGTAGTATCAGCAATGGTTCCATAAACAACTTCAGTACAGCACCAAATACCATCAACAGTTCAGTTCCGTTTAACCAGTACCGGCGCCACCCCCACCCCCCCCCCCCCTCTTATAAGGAGGGAGAAGGAACCGAAACCAAAGCGAGTGGACCTCCAACCTGTAAAAACTACATTTACCACCGAGTAGCACGAACAAGTTCACGCCGTGCCCCAAGGAATCACCACCATGCTAACCCTCTTCCTCAAGATCCTCACCACAACCGCAGGGGTCCTGGCCGCTCCCGCCCCCGCCGCCGAGGCTGCCGCTGAGTCCCTTGATGTCTCGATCACTGCCGCTAGTGGCTACGTAAAACCATGCGAAGAGCGGGCCGGCAAGTGCTATTGCCTGCATTGCTATGGATCAACTTGTAAGCAATGGGTTGATAGGACTTGCTTAAGTCTCGGTTATTTCTGGGCAGGCTGAAAGTACTTAGAAGGAAGGAGCCACTTGTAGGTGAGCTTACTTGGGAACGGAAGGTGGGGGGTAACGGAGAGGGAAAGGTCAGGAAAAAGGAGGTAACTGATTGATTTTGCTCCTCAGGGTCCTTGTCTCTGGTGGCTTCGTTGGCATTACCGGATGATTTTGGTCGAAGATCAATGATAGTCTGGGTATCGGGCAGCTCGACGTTGGAGGAAGGAAAGTGAAAAGAATATTCACCAACTTGGACAATCGATATTGGAAACTCAGACAGCCGTTGAGCACTAGTCAACTGATGGGTTCTAAGCGAGGGCCATCAAGCTATCTTTAGCTGCGTTAATGGAATAACCAAGGACCGAATTTCAATATAGAGTCATCTTTTAAAATCGGGTTATATACTCTGTGGCTTTTGCGTGGCTTCTTCATGTCTACGGCCTCCGGAACTCGTTGTCCTAAATCGTATCTTTGCTGTGGTACACCACCATTTGTTGAGTAAAGTATTGGTATGATTTGACCGTGTCATGCTTTCATCTGTTCATGCCAATATTTTTCATTGCTTCAGAGTACAGAAGCAGGTACGTAAGAATCCTTACACCTGTCTGCTGTGCAAAACCCCTGTCTAGGCTCTCCTCATGTCCCTTACCCTTGCTTCTCTCCTGAAACGTAACTCTTCCCCAGAAATTCTTTGCCCTCTTTCATCCCATGTATCCAGCCAAGGAAGGTCATTATATCTTGTTCATCATTTGGATGCTCATCTCATGTCCCTTTTCCTACTACCTCATCGCTTGTTCGCACACACTTTTGCATCATCATCATCGTCGTCATCATCACAAAAGGGAGGAACGTAGTGAATGAAAAAAAGAAATAAAAAAAAGGACCCTTCGAACGTATGTGTTCGTGTGTATGCGTGTTTACCCGCTTAACTCTGTCTCATCCATGCCTAGGTAACCGTAAAAAAAAGCAACAACCTATTCAACATGCTTGCAAAAAGAAGAAAAAGAAAAAGAAAAAGGGAATCAGAGAGAACGCCAACCCCGATGATGCCTTCCCACCATCCATCCGACCACCCCACACCTTCCAAAGCCCCCCCAAAAGTCCCGATCCTGGCCCAAACACCTCGGGAAAAGATAGAGGTGCGATGCGAGTTCTCCTTCACGTCACTGCGTCTTTTTTGTTTTCGCTCGTATCATTGGACGCTAATCGGCTTCATGTCAACGTGGTGCCGGATTTCAATACAGGAAGCAGGTGTTTGCCAGTGTTGATATAATGCGAAATTCCATTTAATCGAGAAAGCCAGCTGGAACTTGATCTAGCAAAGACGGGTAGTCGTAATGTTCAGACTTCAAAGACACTGCGCCCAGCCGGGTAAGAGCATCTTTGTATAAAGCAAAGACAAAGGGGATTGAAACCAAAGGGGAATCGTATGGACTGTGTCTGATGTTGTAAAAAAAATTCAATGCATGAGTTGTGTGTGATGCATGTTCGTTGAACCGCCTTGAATATGTGTATCGCGCAATGCCATGCAACAGGAGAACATGCTTTGCCTTCGTAATGCCGCTTCAACCACACCAAAGTTTCCCAACTCCTCTTCCCAGTAGACATTAGACGCAAAACGCCATGCAAGCAGCAAGTATCCCGGGAGGTGTGTACCGGGGGGTATCAATAACGGATATCGTTCCGTATACGTCCAAATCATGGAGTGGCTGCAATGCACCAATGGCGGTGGAAAGCCCATGCGCTTTTCTGGCATTCCTTACTGCAGTATTTGGTACGCCGGCAACGGCGGCACTTCGCAAATTGCCTTGTGTACTCTTCCCATTTGCCGCACTGGTAGTAGGCACACTGACGGATGCCTCCCCGGGTGTCGTCCTTTCGGCACAGGTTTCTCATAACCACACCGGCCCAGTATTGCATGTCTGTGCTGTGGTACCGGACTGTGAACTTCTCCACGAGGGGGAATATGTTTTGGTCGTTGGGAAGGAGGTATTCCTCTTCGCACTCTTCTTCTTCTGCCTCCAATTCGGCCTCCAACTCGGCGGGATCAGTGCCGTCGAGAAGCTTGATCTCCTTGCCAATCTTGAGTTTGGGGACAAGGTGGCATTTTTGGAAGTACTTGCGAAGATTGCAATACTTTGATACGTATGCCAGCAGCTGCAACGACATCAACACATCCTCCTCCCTGGGCATGGCAGCGAGCATCTGCGGGTTAGGAGTTACATGACGATCGAGCAGGTAATGCGGGACACGTGAATTGGGCATGGACGGCTGCGCGGTGTTCGCAATGGTCGGCCTATTTGGAGACAGACCAAGGTTGGTGACTTGAGTTGGGGTTGTGTTGTTTTCCATGCTGGTGTCCACGACACCTTGGTGGGTGATGTTGAAGGTTCCAGCTTCCTGAGCCTCCGAAGCCGTCGGGGTGACCAGGTCAAGAGCTGCACCAGTCATTATACCATCGCCATCTTCGACCGAAACCTGCTGGATTCCAACCTCGTTTTGTACGTCTGCGGTTCCTGACATCTCAGCATCCTGGTTTTCATCGGATGCTACGCTGTCGGTGTTCATATCGTCTGTTTCGGCAGCGGTGGAATGTTGATGGCGAATTGAAGGTCGACGGCGAGAGCGGCCATTGGGGGCCAGGATCGAAGGGGGCCGGACGCTGGTTGGCAGAGGTGTCGTTGGCGAGGCAGGCTGAGATGTAAGGTTTGCGTGAGCAAATGGCCCCATGTTTCGTAGGCGATCGGTTTCTCGCACGGCTCTGGCAAAGCTATCAACGTTCTCGACAGACGATGGCCCGGCCGGTGCAGGCGGCTGACTTTCATGACGAGTAGGCGAAGGTACAGCCGATTGGGAGTCCTGTGTTCTAACACCATGGTGATGGTGATGTGAGCGGTGTGCAGAAAAAGGAGTCCTTTCACCAAGGGTTTGACCGGAGAAGCGGGAAGCGGTCGGGGTCGTCTCAGTATCCGGTGCAGCGGCTTCCGTCGAAGGACCAGCAAAGGTGATTGAAACATCAATAGGCTGAGGCGCAGCCTGACGACGGAAAGCGCGTTGGTCAACGTCTACGTTGGTGGGCCTCGAGGAGAAGCTTGCGGATTTGTGCACCCGGTTGCTGCCACTAATCCTATGCCGGTTATGGGGATCCGACTTGTGCTTTGCTTCTTCTGCCTTTTCGCGGACCCTTTCGATGACTTTGATGTAATTGTCGAGGATGGTAGCGATGACGGGGACCATGTCGGCCTCGACAACGCGGGTTCGGACATTCTCCGTGCCTCGTACACCAATGTTGACCACGCACTGGAAGGCCAAATTCCACTTCCACATGTCCATCATATCCTTGCTGCGACCCTCCTTCAGGATGCAGACTAGTCTTTCAATACCGCCATCGACGGTGAGAATGTCTCGGATACGTGCCGATGACGTGGTCAAATAGGCGAGATGATTTAGGGAGTTGATCAACGGGAGGGTCGACGTGCAGTCAAGCGCTCGTCGGTCATACAAAGCCGTGGTGATGCCAACGGACGCCTTGTTGACGTTGGGTATGCTGAAGTTGACTTCCCTCATCTTGGCTTGCTACCACGAGTAACGAGGTAGGCACCAGACGGGGAGAGGAAGATGGACTACGATTGCTGCGGAAGACGGTCGGTCGGACGTCCAAGACTGCACGTGGTCGCACCGTGACACGCGGAGGCTGATGGTCCGTGGTCAAGCGTTGAAGGGTATGTATGCGATGGGAATCGAGGTCGATCGAGATAGCGCGCGCACAGTGTTGTCGAGATATAGAATTGAAGCACTTTGGATGTATAGTTGATGGTTTGAGGACGATGGATGGCTGGTCGTAGTGAGAGCGTGAGCGTGATATTGGCGAGATGGGAAATGATGCGAGCGGATTCTGGATGGAGTGGGTTGCTGGGGGGCGAAACCAAGATTTCAATTCGGCGCCTGTATCGACCGAGAGTTGCGCTGCAAGGGTTGGGACCCCGTCTGAGGTCGATCGATGAGGATGGACGAGGGTGATGGTCAAATGCCTCAAGCCGCGGACGAGGAATCGGATCGGGGGGAAAGGAGCTGAGGAAACGGAGAAGACAACTAAGTGTGTGAGGAGTACAGGAGTAGGTAGGTATCCGGCCGGTGCGGTGCGGTGCGTCGGGGTTTGAGCCCAAGCAACGGCCAAACAAGCAATGCCCTTTTGCTGCCCTGGTTCCCTTTTGGTTGCAGTGCACCCTGGGCAATGAGCGCCTGGGCGGTCGGAACGAGGGCGCGTGGAAGGACGGCCGGGACCGAAGATTGGCGATTGGCTTGGCCAAGTGGAGGTTTCTAGTGTAATTGATCCAGGTATCGTGAGGATAGCTGAGAAAATTTTCTGCAGAAACGGCTGCAAAGATGGGATGTGATGTGATGCGAGATAGTAGCAGAGGGAGGGGAATCAGAAACCTAAGATGATGCCTCAACTCTGTGGGAGCTGGGAGCAGAAAGAAAAATTTGGAAAAAGCTGCAGGGCGTCGGTGCTGACGAAAGTGGAAAACAACCTGATGGACAAGCAAGGAGACCACCCTCGGGTCAATCTGATGGAGATTATAGCGTCGTCGCCAACCCTTGCCTGCTCATGCCTGGACTGTTGCGCTTCGTAGTGGACTAGGAGAGACCAGAGGCCAGGCAGGAAGTGAAATTGGTGAAAGAACTCTCTTGGTGGTGATTGGGGTCTGCACTGGAGACTGGAGACGGGACTGCGTGCTTGGACGGAGGCTGGAGACACAGCGCAGTCACCACCTCTGGTTCCGACGAGACTGACAGGTGCGAGTGCCAAGACCTGGAGCCAGGCAAGATGTGTAACGCAGGTAATGTTCAGGTCAACTGAACTTCAGGCTGTCAAAAAGCGGAGCAGCTGTGACTAGCTCTACCTATCAAAGGTTGAGGTTTGTTTTTCTGTGTGCCCGTAGAGGTAGTAAGGTAGGTGTTTTTCTTGTTAGTGTCAGGGCACCGCACGGGCAGATTCAGCTGGTGAGCGCACGCTGAAGACGACCTGCTAGGCTAGTGTACAGGAGGTAAGGTAATAATTTATGGCTGGGAGTTCAAGGCACGTGCACAGCGGCTGCTTTACCGCCGATGGTTCCCTCGGGGTTAGGTAGCCGCTTTTCGTCAAATACGAATCAATCGATTGCTGCTTGCTTCGCAATCTCATCCCATTCTATATACCTCTAGTCATAATTCCATCAGTTGCCTTCAGTTCTCATCGAGCTTCCCGTCTTCTCCTATCTCTACTACTTTTCCCCGAGTCCCGACATGGTGACCGTTGGAACTGCAAGGCCGATTGCATAAGCATTAATTACGCTACGTTCATTTCCTGCTTGCTCAGACGCGACAAGCGGAGGCGAAGTGCCTTGTAATTACCCACAAATTACCGGCCTGCCCTGCCTGAGCTACCGCCACGGAGCACTCCACAACAGTCCTGCTCTTTCTAGTGTATGTATGGCGGATCGGGGCGGAGGATGACCATGGTATAGTAGGCGGCAGCATAAGCAGGTGACATGATGATGCTTATGGACATGGGAAGCTGGAAGAGGCAAATTCACCTGAGAAGCTGTTGGGCTCAAGACAAAATCGAAACATGGAATTGTGCGGGGGTGGATCAGATTCTGGGGATTGACGTTTGCCATCCAGCCATCGAAGCCGGACACCCTTCCATGGCGCAGAAATGGAGTTGCATATCATATCCATCGGAGCACAAAGTGGACGGACGGGCTGTTCAGCGATGAATAGGAATGAATGATAAACACCGATATTTACAGCATGCGAGCGCTCCAGCTTTTCTGGCTGGTCTTTGTCGAACTGTTCCATGCTGATCCAGTACAGACCGACGTCTGGTTGTCTGTTATGCCCATCAACTGAATCGGATGCTGGTTTTGTTGCTTTGTTCCCAACCAAAATGTATAACCATCCGACGGCAAGGTATCATTCTCTTGTATCACCACACTCCGTAACCCACCAGACGCATGGCTCTTGGCCGCCTCGCCACCTCTACCGGATTTGCTCGTTATGCCTCATCGACTCGAGAAAAGCGGCTCTCGTCATTTTCAGTTGTGTGGGTGTGAAGAGCCGTCACATTGACTTTCCCCTCTCCATGAAACATGTCCCCTCTCAGTCAGAAGGTTGGTGCCGATGTGACAGTCTGCATCAGCATCGGAACTTGGTGATCTTGGCATTTCCCCCCCCTCTTCATAGACATCAAAAGAAGCGCAAAAGATGGTGAAAAGCAGCTCATTAGCACCGTCAGGATGAGGGCCAAACTTACAGAAGTCCCGCGATATTCACAACCACCGGGCACGTCTTTCTGGGGAAAGGCCGGCTTGTCATTTGTGACTTGGCGGGTCTTTCATGATACAAAGGATCGAGATTCGAACCGATTTGTAAGAAAGAAACTCTTTCCGTCACTTTCGACGAGCGGGACCATCAACTGTAACCACCTCCTCGTCACCTCACCAGGAGGCATCCCATGCATAGGTAGGTAAACTACCTCATCAGACCACACACCAGTATTTATCAGGGTCGTCTGAACTAAACTACCAGCCCGACGGATTCGTGTCTTCGCACCCAACAGGTGCGCCTTCAGCGCTCTTGCCCGCGGCCTGAACCCGACTTCCAACAAAAACCATAACCGCACTGGGGTCCCCGCCAGGGCTGAGATTGCCGCCAGAAAGGATGAAAAGCCAAGGAAGCATTCCATTGCATACCTCTACATATGTATGTCTCCATCCCCACATTGCGAAGGGAAGGGTGCAAGCGCGAGCGCTTAACTTCTTGGTCAGGCTTGATGACGGATGTCATTGGTCAAAACCCTGATTCTTTCCAGCACGTTTTGAACCCTATGCAGCCGCAGCCGCCTCCGACTTGGATCGTCCTTGCAGTTCAGTTAGGAACCTCAATGGAGAGAACCCCTTCCCCCCCCCCCCCCCCCAACCCCCACCCCCCTAAAAAAGAAAAAAAAGAAAAATACAAGCAAATGGAATGTATGAACTGAACTTAATTGACGATGTCGACACCAGTTTAGACATGAACATATCGCATCTGAAGTTACACGGACACAATACACACAGTACTAGATCACGACCCGAGGGCTTGGCGAGATAGAGGTATGCTTGGCTTTGGGGATGCTTTCCCTGAAGATTGACATGCCCAACCAAGCTGATGCCGATCGCTTGTGAGTTGTGTTTACTTTCCGAATGTACTATGTACAAATTCCCCGACCCATCTAGAAATTTGCATGATGTACTTTAGTTACGGGTTCCCAAACCACACAAATACGACAAGGTAGCTAACAAGACACCTGACTGCCCATCAAGGTACATACCTCACTTCTTGCTATACATAGCAGTGTCGGAAATCCTGCCAAAAGACCCGTTGTAATCATGCGATCGAAAGGATAAGGAGTCTCAGTTGCCACATTACCTCTGCGGGCAATCGATGATCGAGGGAAGAATGACAAGACTAGCAAGGTTGACGAACGATTGTGCGGGTTGTATGCAATGGATCCAACGGAACATTCCGGGATTGTTTCCCAAGCCACGTGCTCCAAGGAATGTTCTTTTATTGTTCTTCCCTCTTATTATGAAATTTTCCTATTTTCTTTGTTCACCTCGTTGCCATCCGAAGCTGGACGGCAAAATTTGCGCAGAGGCGTGTGGCCACATGGCGAAACCGTGTCCGTACTCTATCCTCATTTCGGAACCGAGCCGTAAGGTCGAAAATGGTAGCCACGTTTCCGGCCACACGTGGCTTTTGGCCTTGGAGGGGACGTGGTCTAGAACGGGTATGTAGGTAGACACTGCACCAAATTGGGATAGAAACAGCTCGGAAAGTTGGTCAAATTCATGTTCTCTGTTTCGGTGGGGGAATGGTAGCTACTTGGGATGCTGGAGTTCTTGTTTACTTGTATGGAAGGCGGTAAACGATCATACATGGTGCCAAGTAATCAACCCCTTTTCAACTCACCTATCAAGTAAACAATAGACATTAGGATTTTATCTCTCGATATTTCCATACCACGAACACATTTCACCCTGTCTCCATACCCTCCATCCAGAATCCTCTCTCTTTATGTTCACCTTCCCCCCTTTACACCAGAAACCCTTCAATCTCCCCCAACCCTCGCATGCCTAAAATACTTCATCCCCACCCAGCTCACCGACACCCACACCCACACCATCATCCACGTCAACACAAATAACGCCGGGTAGTATCCAACAATCGGCAGTGTCGGGTCGTCCTCGAACTCGGGCGGCGCGTAAGGAGTCGTTCCCACGTCCCACGCCCAGCTCCACACGCCGAAGCAAGAGCCCATCCCGATCACGAACGTGATCCACGTGCATAACAAGATAATCCAGCCCCAGAACTCGGTATCGCTGTAGTCGTCATAATAGTCAAAATCGGAAACTGCTTCCTGGGACGGCATCGGTGTTGTCAGACTCAAAGGGGACTTGGCTCGTTGTTGTTGGGCCGAGCTGCGGCGGCGGCCTTGGATTGAGTCTGATGCGGCGGCGGCTGAGCTGCTGCCGTTGATGTTGCCGGATGTTATGTCTAGAGGGCCGCGGGTGAGGCGGGTGGAGGACATGGTCGAGAAATAGGAGTCGGGACCCGGAGAGGAGACGGAGGCCCGCTCGGGATGAAGAAGGTTGAGACTGCTGACGGAGGAGCTGGTCGAGGAGCGGGAGAGAGATGGCATGACGCCTGGCCCTCTGAAGCTGGCCATATGAAGGGCGTCTTCGTCATCGGTGGTCGTGCAGCTGATGGTAGGGCTTGTCATTGTTGGGTCATCAGTGCTATTGCTGATCATTGTGGGCGATGTGATGTTGCTGCTTGTGCCCTTGACCGTATATATCCCCTCAGAGTCCGACTCTGCCATGCTGGCACTTGGTCGGGACGTAACACCCGAGATGCCCAGTCCAAAGCCGCTATTTCTGCTATTTTCCTTGATGATCGAGTCAGAACTTGACGTGATGATGTTGCTCCCCAAGCCGGACGTGCGTGCATTGCTACCGTTGGCACCCTCCACCCCAAACTGTGTGTTGATGCTTAGCGGGTAGTTCTCCCGCCTTTCACGCTGAGCTCCTCGGCCCAAAAGAGCGACCTTCCTCAGCGACCCCCTACGCCGCCGTGTTTTCTGTTGCAGTATTATCTGTTGTTGAAGGGCCGCGTGCGAAAGCGGAGGTGGTGGGGCATGGACACTACTGCCAGCGCTGCTGTTGCGGATATTGGTATTCGAAGTGGACGGGATCGTACGAAAGGACGGTATTGGTGGCGAGGTAGTTGGTGATGAAGTTGGGGAAGCGGACGGTTTCGAATCGTCCTCGTTGGTCCCGCGGCGCGCGCGGGGCCTATGCTGGTCGCTCGATGCGCGCATGAAGGGAAACCGAGACAACAGTCCGCCTGTGCCGGAATTGCTGCGCTTGCGTACAACTGCAGGTGGGCGATTTGGGGTGACGTCGGGCGCGGCAGCAGGGCTCGCAGGTTCGGATATCGGCTGGTTCATTGCCGGGGTGATGCAGCTTGTCTCTTTATCGGGGTTTGACGACCGAGAACCCGATGGCTCGTACGTGGGGAAGATGGATCCGGGGACAAGGTTCGCTCAGACAATGCCTTTGCGCCGTCTCTTATGGGTTCGGATAAGGGCGCACACACGCCCGCCGTTATGTTGACCGTGATACTGTTGTCTTGGTCAAGGGTAGACTCGTCAACTGTTATGCCCTGGTGATGAATTGCTTTCGCATATGTGGATGCTGGATGGCTGATTGAATGTCGAATGGGCTGCGATCGCCCGGCTCGATCGAATCAGTTGCTTATGGGCCCTATTTTCTGTCCCTGCCTCAGATCTGCCGGCACTTGAGGACAGGAATATCCTCTAATTCAAACGTGGCTTCGGAGCTTGAAGGCGGCAAGAAAGATCGAAGTCGAGTACGAGCACCTGGTCTGTCGCAAACCGTGTTATTTCTGTTGATCTCCGAAATGCATAATGGAACGAGCTTCTGTCCCCCAAAAACAACAACGCCGATGTCGAATGGCAATGCGCCGGCAGCACGCTCGGCTGTCCTTGATGAGGAAACGAGAACACTGCAAAAGACGATTTTCGCAGTCATTCAGTGGAAGTCGCGATGATCGGATATCAGCGACCTGTGCTGTCCAATATTGCATCCAATGCGCTCGAAGCTAGTACCAATCAAACCGTCTGTCGCATCCCGCACCGCACCACCGCGGCCACCACCGCCCGCGGCCATCGACAAGGTTTCTTTTGGGGAGGATCAAGGACGGGGTTCCCTTAACTAGATTCCACTCCCTTCTTCCACTTGTCCCCACAGTCGTTGGAATTGAACTGAAGTTCCCGTCACCTCCAGCCCTTCGTCAGTCGTCACTCACGGCAGGCAATCGGTCCCTGGACCCTGCTGGGTTGATCAATGGCACCATGGTGGTCCCGACCCCTTTGTGTCGTGATACGGTAACGACTACCGAATAGCACGTTCAGTCCAAGAAAGCATGCAAGGGATGGGCGGTGTAACATCCAAAAACCAACGGCATCTTGTCGGGTTAGGAAGAACTTCAAGATAGTGACGACAGGTGAACATCATCAGTTTCAGTCACGGTCACTCTCATTATAACTTTCACCTCTGGACAGGTGAAAACATGGAGACAACCCTTGAAAGAAACTAGATAAGACCTGGACCAATGGAGCCCCATACTGGCGCTAAGCCTAATGCCGACTACGGTCGCTCACCCCTGACACGGCGGTCCACCGTCACCAAGTCTGCCTCCACTCTGCCTGGCCCTCCACCTCTGCCCCTGGCGCTGCCGGCCAATGAACGCGGTAGCGCCGCCGCCGTAGACATGGCCACGGCCACGGCGACGACCACATCCACGCCTCTGTCAACCGACTTCCATCACAATTCACCGAACAGCAGGCACATGGCGACTGGCCTTCCCGTCATCGCGCCGGCAATTGTTTACCCTGCTGCGGACGACGATTACGGGGACGACGCTGAAGGTGCCCCGAGAGACTGGCGACACAATAGCGGCAGCAGCGGCGACGCTATCGAGACCACCATCATCTCCTTGGCCTTCGACGATCACGACCAGGATGATACTGGCTCCCACAGTCTAGCCGCTCCATTGCCCCCATCCCCGTCACAGTCTCCGTCACAGGACAAACGCAGCAAATCCCAAGGCCTCTTGCTTTCGCCAACCTACAAGCCCCCCATCTCCCCGCGATCAACAACCTTCTCGTCCGACACCTTCCTTCATCCCGATCACGCGAACCTGAGCCTTCTGCGGTCCCCATCGCCCGACCCCAGTTCCTTTGCAATGGCGAGCCAGGACGGGTCTGCGTCTCCCACCACGGGCGAGTCCAGTGCGCCGCCAAAAAACCCCTTCAACTTCCAGACCCAGATCATCTCTTCGGGGCCCGTCAAATCTGTATGTTGCGTTGTTGTCCCGTCTATACCTCCTTCTTGTTAATGGCAATCTCCCCAGAATATCGGTCAACGCCGCGGCCATCGCTACAAACACTCATCCATCAGCGCCCAACATTCCTTCTTTCAGGAACCCCCACCGCGCCCACCGCCCGTCCTTCCCGCTTCCCTCCCTATCCCGACCTTCAAGGAAGCATGGCATAGCATGCAGAAGCTTCAGCGCATGCGCTTCTGGTGGTGCTGCTGCCACGCCGCCATAGCCGGCTACGTCTTCCTCAGCGCCGAGGGCTCGCTCGCCATGACTGCCCTCTCGCATCTGGTCGCCTTCGACGTTGGTTCTGCCGCCGTCTGCGTCGCCGTCGATGTCCTCGGCAACTTCGAAGTCTGGCGGCGGTCCAGCATCCGACACCCCTTTGGTCTGCAGCGCGCCGAGGTCCTCGCCGGTTTTGCCATGTCCGTCTTCCTCGTCTTCGGCGGCTTCGACCTGCTCTCGCATAACATCAAGCACGCGCTGGAAAACGTAGGCGAGCATGCGCCTCACCACCCTCTACCGGACACCCTGGACGACACGAGCGCAAACCTGGCCTCTTCGACGCCGATAGCGCACATCCACGCCCACGACGCCACCACCCCGCGCGTCTCGGCCGGCGCCGTCGACTTCGCCAGTCTAGCCGCCATCCTCAGCACATTGATAAGCGCTTACGGCCTGCGCAACCACAGCCGCATCGGTCGCGTCATGCGCGTGCCCCTGCCATACCTGCGCAAGCTCCTGCCGCACGCAGGCATCCTGTCCAACCCGTTCCACCTGCTGACTACGTTCTTCGCCTGCGTCATGCTGCTCCTCCCGCTCCTCAGCATCTCGTACTTCGTCTGGCTCGACCGGCTCATTTGCGCCTCGATAGCCGTCAGCATGTTTGTGTTGGGCACTCGTCTGGCGATTGCGCAGGGGCTGATGTTGTTGATGAGTTATTCTGGTCCAAGAGATATCTCGCGTTCTCCGCCATCTACAGCGGCATCCTCGGATAAGAAAATGGACAGTTTGGCGGCAGGAGAGAATAACAACAACAGCCAAGTCTCAGCCGTCGTCCGCGAGATCGAATCTGAACCCCAAATCAAGCGCGTCGAAGAGGCTCAGTTCTGGCAGGTGCACTACGGTCTAGCCATGGCCAACCTGAAGGTTTGTCTGGCTACCAAAGGGATGGATGACGGCGCGCTGGCGCAGCTGAGAAGTCGGTTGGCGAGGTTAGTGCAGAGTCGGTTGGGTGAAGGGTATGGAAGGGGGTCGAATTTAAGGTGGGAGGTTACGGTGCAGATGAGTACGGATTCTACGTAGCTGTGCAAACTTTGAAGGAATATTATGTACAAGGATAATGGCTGGGATTTTTTTGGGTGACATAAATAAAGCTTGTTCGCTTTGGAATTGGAAAAGAGGATAGGCATGGTCCTTTGATGATGATGAAGATAGTTTCGTTGGCTATTTTGCCAGCGCGTGTTTACTCAGGAAGCGAGAAGAGGCAAAGTAAAATCTGGCGAACTTATTATCAGACAAGCGTTTCTGCAACGTATACCTACCCAAGTCCCATGTCAGTTCATAATGCTCGTGATGTTTTCCTTCTTTATTTCGTCGTCAAACCAGTAAAGTAGGCGCCAAGATGAGGTGAGAACAGCAGGATAAAACTGAACAGAGTAGACTAGTAGTATATGAAGCCCTTATATGATGACGCCGATCAATTCCCAGATCTGCCTGCCTGCCTGCCTGCCTGCCTGCCTTTGCGATCTTACACCTGAAGAAACAGACGACCCTATAAATTCCATCAACTCGCTTCCCCCATGCGATAATTGACAAAAGCCCGACCAAGAAACCTAATCAAATGTTCTCAAGCACGAACGCCCTCTACCTCCGATCCCTTCCTGTTGACCTCTAAACAGAACACTCCCAGTCATAAGCACTACTTCCAACAAGTCTGTTCTTTTCCCTTCATCTTCCTCACCCTTTTTCTTTCTCTTCTTCAAGTCCACCATATCAACCACCTTCATCCTTTTCCCCCTCTTCACACACCGTTCACTCCCTAATCTTAAAACCCAAACCTCCCCCTCGAAGACCCCGACCCCGAACTCGATGAACTCTTCTTGCCCAGATTCCCATTGTAAGCCCTATGCCCATGTCCATGATAATCATGAGCACCAGCGACATCATCGTCCGCCCTATGGAACCTTCTCAATCCCTCAATCTTGGACAGCACGAGCTCGAGGAGCTCCTTGCGGCGGATTAAATCCAAGTGACGACGGATGCGGGAGTCTTCGGAGGCGAAGCGCTCGAGCCCGCCGCCGAGCATCTGCTCGCCCAGCTTGGACTCGACCTCTCGGGGAAAACGGGCGTAAAAGTCGTTGAGCATTTCCACGTTGAGGAACAGAACAGAGGTCTGGGTGAGCTTGGTGGCGACGGCGTCTAGGAAGACTTCGGGGCAGTAGTACTTGTTCTCGAGAGACTTGCACTGGCGCGACTTGACGGCCATGATGCGCATGTTGATGATGTCGGCGCGGTCGCGGAGGAAGACGGCTTCGCGGCCTGGTTTTGACATTTGTTAGTTGGTGTTCGTGGAGGGGATAAAAGAAGTGCATGAGTGATAGAGAACATACCTTTCTGGAGCAGAGCAGCACTGAATCCACCGGCACCGTTCCTGGTCTCTCCCTCGACGACAATCTCACCCTTGCGAGCCTTGTCGACAAAGTTCATGACCTCCTTCAGTTTCCTCTTGCCTCCGACGGAATTCTCCAGGTTGCCCATGGCCCTCTGGCACTGGTCCAATTCCATCTTGAGGACACCGGCAACGTGATCCCGCCCTTGCGACCACTCCTGTGGCTGGATGTCGACTTCATACTTGTAAGGCTTGAGAGAAAACTCGATACCATCGCTGGTGGTGTATGAACGATCAGCGAGGACGGTGGCGGCAGCTTCATTGATGACCTGGCGCGCAGAGGGGTGCTTGGCGAAGGTCGACTTGTTGACGAGCTTGTCCACGTTGGCCTGGATAGCGTTGGCGACCACAGTAGCAGCCAAGCGACCGACACCCAGCCGGGTCAGTGCCGAGGTTGCGGTATCGAGCTGCATATGCCAGAACTGTGAGTCGGGGTCGGCCTTTGGAAGATCGGCAATGTTCTCCGGCTCAAACGGAGCAGGGGAGAGATCCTCGATAGGCTTGTTCCAGTACTTGGCTGCCAATTGATCGAGGACCCGCTGGTCGAGAGCCTCTTTTAGTAATTGCTGCATTTGGGGACGGCCAAAGCTGGAAGCAAACCTCTTAAAGGCGTGCTTGAAGTCGTCCAAGCTTGCGGCAAGGTATGCTTCCGCAGTCATGGGCTCCTCATTATACTGAACCTTGAACTGGTATGACGTTTCTTCGAGCTCGCGCTGAATGGCAGCTGTTGTATCCTGCAGCTTCGATGACATTTGCTGTTCCAGGACATGCATGAGCTTCTTGCGTAGTGTTACGGTGCCGATGTTGACACCAGAGTCTGGGCCAAATTCAGGATGAGTGCTGAAGTAGGATTTCTCATTTTTGCTGATCTGTCTCAGGAGAGCACCGGTATCCCGCTTGAAGAGCCCTGTTTGCTGAGGAGCCCTGGAAATCACACCAACATAACCCAGACGTAGAGGATATTGCTTGTCGCTCAAAATTGCCGCACCCTTCTCCGGATCAACCAAATCCATCTTGGTGATGACGCCAATCGTCCGTTCTCCCCTGGGGTCAACCCTACGGCTTGCCTGCAAGGCAGTCGAGTTGGCCAGATCAACATCGGCGGCAGAAATGGCGAGAATGATATTGGGGCCTCGGATATACTTATCGCAAAGCTCCGAAATCTTGCGCTTGAGCTCCCGGGGTTGGTTCTCTCCAGCAACCTGGATGTAACCGGGCAAATCGATCAAAGACAGGTCCGGAACTCGGGGTGAGTGGATGGTAAGACGGATTGGGTCGTCGGAGACACACTCGCGTTCGGGAACGGACTGGTTGAGCTCGGTAAGGTTCTTTTGTATCAGAGAGAAGTCGGTGATTCTATGAAGACCAAGGTCCGGAAATTCACCGTAATCGGCGCTAACCTTGGGGTCATTCACCAGCGTTAACTCGATCGGTCGGCGAGTGATCATGTTGTTGCCTTTGGGCAAGAACTCATGACCAACAATGGCTTCGAGAACCGAGCTCTTTCCCGACGACTGAGATCCGATAACAACGATCGAGGGCAGAGAGACCGTGCTCGACTGGCCAACTTTCTGGAGTAGGTTCCGAATCTCGATCATCATCTTGGTCATGTACATCATCTGATCGTCCTTGGAGATTTCCTCGGGGGTCCGGTCATCCTCTTCGGCTGCATCATCGTAACCATAAGCAGCTGCTGAAGCGCCAACGGCGGCGCCCATCCTTGCTTTCTTGGGGGGTTCGGGTCTTCCAGGTCCGGAACCGTTGTTGTTACCCCCTTCAGGTCCGCCCTCTGATTTGAAGAGGTTCCCTAACCATTCAGGCAGCTCGAATTCTTCCTTTGTATTATCCCAACCTCGCTTGGTCTGTTCGGCAATATCGACGGCGCTGCCCCATAGGCCAGAGGCGGTTGTGGTGACGGTATCTCTGACGTTACCGAAGACTTCTTGGGCCGAATTGCTCACCTCTGTGTCTTTGTTAGCGGGGTATCCAACTACCAGCAGACTCGGGCCGTAGGTCGCTTACGGATGGCCTGATACTGAATCCATGCGACGCCTCCAATCATCATGGTGCCGAACAAGGCAGGGATGCGCGCAAACTTGAGGGCCAGCTTGGGGAGAAGGCGGATGAAGGAAGCATTCCGGACAATGACGGCGTTGTGATAGGAGTTGGCGGGGAAGCGCATCGAGCGCCGCAATGCTCGCGAGGCATGCTCAGTTCGTTGAAGGCCGCCGGTAGGAAGCTGGCTATGATACGGGCGAATAGCTCGGAGAGTCACACGCCGGGCGACGGGGCCCAGGGCCCCGGCAGCGCGAAGCTGTGCGCTCATGATGGAGGAACGACGAAGCGGTGCCTGTCTCGGATCATGCAATCAGGCACGGCATCTAGGCGTCGATCAACGGGCCAGGGTCGTCGTCGTATGTCGTCGGCGTTGTAGGTCGGTCTCACAGGGCACAGGACCCCTCGAGTCGGATAAAAAGAAGTCCGGATGTGATCACGGAGTCGGATCGGGTAGTGTTATCGTCAGTGGTTCGTTGATGCCCGGTCACAAACAAGTCGCGATGGCCCCGGTTTGACAACTCAGGAGCCGAACGGGATTCTGGGAGCCTACGCCACGCGCGGCCAGCCCGCCAAACTCACCCCACCCACAAAAATTGGGACTGGACAGTGCCCGTGGGCCTGGGGCGCTGCGTGGGACCTAAAAGTGGGGTAATCATTGTTAGTGTTTGGCGGGTTTTGTAGTGGCAAACGATATCTTTGTAGTGTACAAGTAGATTCTTGGATCCTACGCAGTACACTAGAGGTACAGCAAGAAACTGAACCACCAACTGCAGTCCCGAGATCCAATCCTGAGCCGCCCTCCTGAAAGGGTACTATGTCTACACTAGCATTTTGATGTTCAATGTTGTTTTGCTTTAGGCTCTGGTAGAAAAATATTCATGTACTGTACCCTATCTGCATAGGACTGCATCATGACTGCTCGTCAATTCGGCACAAGTCGCATGCATAAGGTCTTTGGACGGTGTAGCGCTAGCACCTGGGCTTAGTTCATTTGTGACTACCCAGAGATGTTTGAGATCCGTTGAGCAGTAGGCAAGTGAGGCGGGTAGCTGACATGAAACAAGATCTTCTTCCAATGTTGTTGGATTCAGGAACACTGCAATGAGCTGGTGTGATTGTGCACGATGGTCCCATTGCAAACAAGCAAAACAGTCACGGAGTTGAGCACCCATTTGCTCCGGAGAGTATCGCAATGTTTGTGACTCCGGTAATATCCATTGGAAACCTGGAACATCTCGTACCAACGGGATCATTTATTGCCTGATAACCCGTGGAATCAAAACCTGAAGTTTGGGCAGCAGAAACGAGACATGTATCTTCAGTCATGGCTGGCTCGCCAGGCGCGCCAGGCTCGGCTAGAATCAAGAGACATGGAACCCTGGCCAGCTGAATTGTTCTTGTTCTATCGGTTAAGAGGGCATGAGGTTTTTGCCAGGAACTCCTTTGTCCGCCTGAAAAGGGCGAGACATGAATGAGGATCGGAGTGTTGAGGTTGTCAGATGGAACAATGTACACTCAGACAGAAAAAGAAACGGCCGGGCTTCCGTCGTCCCGCGTTGACATCGACATCCAATCGTGCGCTTGCACCTGCCTTCAGGTTGGTTGGTAGTCGTGCCGAGAACCCAGACGTGCCAGTCGTGCCTGCCCGTCGCAGTGTGGCAAGCCTGGAGACCCTGAAGTGGGCGCAAAATGCCCGCCCCAAGATTGTCCATGTTGCGCCTTCCATGCATTCCGCCATTTTCGCAGGCGATGCCGTCAGCCCTGAACGGGCTGGACTGCCACTGTGCATGACTAGACACGCTGCCCGCCCTGGGATATACCTGTCGGCGACGTCGTCCCGTGCACTGCACTGGCGGGACCCCAGATTCAAATCTATCCCACCGTCTTTCCAGCTCCCCGTCTCATTCTTTCCTTGCCCGAAAGGGTCCAATTACGCAAGCCCGCATCCGCCTTTCTACAAAACTCATACTTGAACCCTTTGTGTCGGCTCAGTCCTTGTTGGTCATAGGCACGCTTGGCCCTTGAAAAGAACCGTCGATATCTTCGCCGTGCGTCCCTTTGCCATTGCGATTCTTGCAGGCAACAAACAAACAAACAAACGATCCTCTTCGATCCTGGAAGTCAACCCTACCTGGCGACGTCAGTGTTTTCAGCAGCAAACAGTACGCCTCAATTCAACGACACGGTAGCAACTAGTACGACGCTCTCACGCTGCTGCAGACTTGCAATTGCCGGCATTGTCATACCTTAGCTTCATCCTCAGTCTACACACACCGTTGACCATGTGTCGGTTTCTGGTAAGACAACAATTTCCGACTCGGTGATCGTGTCAAGAAACGCCTGCTTATTGAACGGCAAATCAACAGGTATACAAAGGAAGCGACGAAATCCTGCTCTCCAAGTTGGTTCTCGACCCTGCCCATTCTATTCTCAAGCAGTCTTTCGATTCGCGATTGCGACTGGTATGCTATTCCCCCGTGTTCGCCCCTTGCGACTCTTTTAACATTGAGCACCGTGGCTCACCACGTTGTTACCGCGCAGGATACCCGTCGCGGCCAAAACAATGCCGATGGCTTCGGAATAGGATTCTACACAGATCCTAAGCTCGGTTTGGCGCCTTGCCTGTTTACATCAACGACCCCCGCATGGAACTGCCAAAACCTCCAACGTCTTGCCTCCAAGACCGCCTCACATCTCGTATTCGCCCATGTCCGAGCTACCACCGAAGGCACCCTGAGCGAGGACAACTGCCACCCTTTCTGCCATGGAAGTCTTATGTGGATGCACAATGGCGGACTGGGAGGATGGAAGTACATCAAGAGAAGACTTGGCGAGCGTCTTGCCGATAAATGGTACCTGGGTGTGGCGGGCGGAACCGACAGCGAATGGGCCTTCGCTCTTTTCCTCGACACATTGGAGCGTATGGGCTTCGATCCAAGCTCGCAACCCGAGGGTGGTTTTGGACCGACTGTTTTGCGAAAGGCTATGCTCAGGACGATTGACATCATCAACGAGCTGATTGACAATATCCCAGAGAGTCTAGTACACTCGGAGAACATCGACACCCGTAGCCTTTTGAATTTCGCCCTTACAGACGGACACTCGATCGTTTGCACCCGATATGTCGGTAGTTCCACGGACGAGGCTGCTAGTTTGTATTACTCCTCTGGGACATTGTGGGAGACGAGGGAAGCAGATCCCGAGAACCGGGACTACCAGATGGAAAGAAGCGATAAGGGGGCTGACGTCGTGCTGGTTGCGAGTGAGCCCTTGTCCTTTGAGAGAGGTATGTTTGATCAGTCTATGCCAAATCAAGTGCTCGGGGACGTAACTAACAAGCCGTATAGAAAACTGGGTAAACGTACCTACCAACTCGATCTTGACTATCCACAATCAAACTGTTCTGGTACATCCTATCAAGGATCAGTATTACGAGCAAGATCCCCAGCAGCGCCGCTCTACGGCTTTCGTCAGTTCGAAGGGCTTGGCCGCAAACGAGAAGACGTCATCACGCGGCCCTGCCACAGTTCTCATGCCAGCCATCGAGATTGAGAGTCCCCAACAGCATGCCCAGAAGAAGTTTTTGGGTCCCACAATACCATCATTCACCCCCAACCCGGTCCGAACAACCACAGATACCGCTGTACCTCGAAGCCGGATGCCGCTAGCAAACGTTGAATCAGCGAACAACCCGTCTAACGTAGCCGATGTCCGTAACATCTCGGCGCCTCCGCAGCTACTACGGGCAGGATCCCAGCAACCACCGGCACAGGGAAATATCAAGAAGAAGCGTGCCTCGTTGACCACCGCTTTGGGAGAGGCCTATTCAGCAGCCAGCATGGGCTACAGCCTCACCACCACTTTGACGAACAATAGCACAACCAGTAGCATAATCAGCACGGAGACGGCAACAAGTCCCGTTACTCCAGAAGCGGGCAGGTCCGAGTTCGGAAATCCGAATAAGATCGCTCAGTTCTTCCCAGAGTTGACGCCATACCACTGAAATACCCTTCAGGCGAGGCTTTCGTTCTAATCCTACCCGGCGGTGGGGTTAAATTGGATGAGTGGCTCTTTGTGTTGTTGTTTCTTTCTTCTATTTGCTTGTGGCTTCAGGAAAGGCGGGTCTATGTCTGGCGTTGGTGGTCATGGGTCTTCCCAGGTCTATTTGGGTCTGAATCTCGGTTTGGGTTTAGGCTCGTCTCGATTAATAGCAGCAAGCGGGCGTTACGATGGTGTTGCGCATCAAGCCCCTTACCATGCGGGTTCGAGGAGTGAAAGGGGGATGTCTCGTGTATTAGTGTTTCTGAAGTAGTCTTAGAGCAGCGATGGCCCTTGCGCGGCTCGTCCATGATAGGATGACGGTCACACAAACTGCAGTGACCGAGAATTTGCTTTTGTTCACGAGCCAACATCTTTGAATGAAGGTGAAAGTAAGAACCCGTTTGTTCGGGCGAACGGATATGACCATAAGATAAATGATATGAGAAAGGACGTTGAGCCAAGCAGGTAACGCCATCAAACTGTAAGGCATGAAAAGAACTCTTTAGGTATCTAAGTAAAGGTAGTGGCTACTGAATTGATCTGAATCCTTCAATGATGTTTGTTGTATGACCGGTCCCATGATGATGTGTACTCATACACGCTACTACCACCTTCGCCACCAACCTGCCGTGCTGACCTTTTGTTGTACTAGGTTGGAAACAAATTACCCATCATGGCATCGACACCGCTCTTCACTTCCACTGCTTCTTCTCGCTCCTGCCACAGTGAAGCTTACTCACTTCACCTCTTTCCAGCCCCCGCCTTTCTCCTGGCCTTGCCAGGCCTAGGCGCAGGCTTGAACTTCTTGGGCTTGCCGCCTGCTGGGCCGCCCGATTTCATCTTCCTCGCACTGAACCCGCTCACGTCGCCCGACGAGAGGGCGTCGTTGGACTTGGCGTACTTCTTCTTGCCGCCAAAGCCAAACTTGGCATCCTTCCGTTGCCTCTTGGCGTTGGGCCCGCCGCCCTCCTTGCCGTCGCGGCCGCGCTTTTTGTTGTTGCCGCTAGGGCCGCCCTTGAGCTCGTTGTCGACGGCAACGTCGAAGAGGTCTTCGGCTTCGTTGGCGCCGGTGGGGCCACCGCCGTCCTTGCGCTCTGTTTGAGGAGGAGGCGGAGGTTAGTTGGCTTCAGTTATCATCGAGTGGGGGAGGGGAAGGAAGAGGAAGAGGAAGAGGACTTGTTATGGGACTAAGAAGGGAAGGGGAAGGGGAAGGGGAAGGGTAGGAGAGGCACGTACTCTTCTTGAGAAGATTGATCTTCTCGAGTGTGTCACGCTTCTGCTTGGCACGCTCCTGCTGCTTGGCCACCTGCACCTGCTTGCCGAACTTCTTGAGGTCGCGCTGCTTGCGCGCCTCGGCCGAGGCCTTCTTGGCTGTGGCCTCCTCGATAAGCTTGGCCTTGACCTTCTCCATAGTCTCGTCGCTGCGCAGCGTCTCGGCAAAGTAGTCGGTAGGGCGGGTGAAGGGAACACCCTCCTTGCGGAGGAGGGTGCGGCCGACGCGGGCGGCCTCGAGCGCCTGGTTCATGAAGGCCAGCTCGCGGGCCAGGTCGTCGTCAATCGAGGGGATGGACTCCTCCGTCACCTTCTTGGCAACGATGGACTGGTGGAAGGCAAATGGGACTTTGTCGGTTGTGTCGAGGGCGAAGCGCTTGAGCGCCGTCAGGAGACCTTGCTTGTTGTTTATTGTCTGGCGCGCCTTCGAAATGGCCTTGACCTCCTCTCCTTCCTCTCCGTCGACGTCGAGCTCGTCAATGTCAATCTCATCCTCGTCCTCCTCCTCGTCGCTCGATTCCTCGGCGGCCTTCTGGTACTTGTTTGCCTGGATGCCGGCGGCGGATTGCTTCTCGTTCAGGTCGCGCTCGAATTCTGAGTCGGAATCGGATTCGTCAAGTGCATCAAGATCGAGATCGTTGTCCTCTTCGTCGTCACTACCCTCCTCAGAATCTGAACCGGCCTCTTCTTGTTGCTCTGGTTTCTGCTCGTCGGCCTTGGTCTGAGTGGTGGTTTCTTCCCCCTTCTGCTCCTCTTCGACCTCCATCTTGTCCTCTACAGGGGTCTCTTCGACGACCTGCTTGGGCTTTCTGCCACGCTTCTTCTGCTCCTTCTGGGGCTTCTCTTCAACAAGCTTCTCGACCTTCTCAGCCTCAAGGGCCTTGGTGGCCGGCTTTTTTGTGCGGGTGGACTGTCGCGGCATTGTGATTATGTGGGGTTGCTGTACAATCGATTTGGATGATGAGCTCGAGAAGCGGCAGCGCCTGCAGTTCTGGAAACTTTTTTTTGACATGGCTGCCATTACCCGATAAGATAAGCCTGGTGGGTCGGAGGCGGACCCACATGCTTGGCGCCCAGCATAGAGGTATCCACAGTCCAGCTCCTGGAAGTCCCCTTCACATTCTCTCTGAATCTGGCACATCAAACCCCAACCCTTACGAATTACAATGGGCCTGTGGTGACGGTGATGGTCACGGAACTGCATTTTCTCGGTGATCTTAAGATTGATTGCTCGCATATATCACCATGCCTGTGTATCTCTGCCCAGTTTCTCGTAAGTTACCCGCAGCCTGTGTCAAGGTGGTTTAACACGAGTCTCTTGTTACATCAAACTTCGCGTTCAGTGGAGGAGCCTTGTCCCGCGCAAACATCACGAACCTAACCTGGCCGAAACAGATCAGATATATGCCTGGGACGTGAAGCTAATATACCTAATGGGGTGTAGTCTGTTTTCTCGGAGCCGTGGCCATTCCTCGACGTATCATGTCTTGATGATCGATCAACCGTTCCATTTGCAAGTCGACAGCCTTTTCACTGAAGTCAGTTGCTCTGAAAAGTCTTACGAAGAAGCATACTGTGGAAGAAAATCCACAATCATAGTCACGGTCATGAAGAAAGGATCCAGAGATATGGTGTCAACCGGGGGGTTTTTTTATTAAAAGAACTAACACTCTTCAAATCCTTCATCCAAGCCAACTCACCCCCACAATCCCTCCCCTTCGCAAACTGAGATCAGAAAGATACAGTGAAAACTCCCCATATGGTCCTCCCCCTCCAGAAATTCCATCCCGGGAGTCCCCCCTCCCTGCCAAGACAGAAAGGAAGACTTCCCTCCTCTACAATCCTATCCAAGAAATTTCCAAGAAAGTGCGCAAAGAAAAAGGAGTGGTGAACTAAGCGCCATACACAATCCCGTGCAAGTCCCACCCAACAAAAGAGAGAAGCATGTCGCGAAATAGCTCCCTCCCAGCAGATGGAAGAGGTCGAGGTTGGAAGGTGTGAGCCCGCCGACTCCCAGGTGACGTTTGCCGAAGAGTGTGAATCGAAGAGAAGTTGCTGCATCGTTTCCCGCCGGCGATGTCCTCAGTCCGCAAAGGGTGTTTGGTGTCGAATCAACGACAAAAGAGAGAAAGGGTCAAAAAGATAAGATGAGTTGCTTGAGTGTCGAAAATTGAAGAGGGAAAGCTCCGTGTGGACGAAAAGTAGTCCCGTGTGAAGTTATCCCCAACAAGAAGAAGCGAAAGTCGTTTATGTGAATGATGGTGTGTGTGATGTGTGCGGATGTATATCCCCGGTTGACAAAGGTTTTTCCATTCCCATCAAGGAAAGATCCTCACCGCTCCGGTTGTTGTCAGTGGGTGCTCCCATTGTGCAGAGTCCACCATGAAGCAGAGACAAGAAGCTTCCTAGGCGAGGTTGCTGTTGTGGCGGAACGAGAGGTGGGCTTTTCGATCATGATAGAGGGAAAAGCAGATTGCTGGTCTGACGTTGAGAGGCGAGATACCGATCTTCAGTGGTTCTCATCGAGTGATGTTGCGAGAACAGGATCACTCAGGTGAGATAGGTGGTTTGCTAGAAGATTGCTGGAGGAAAGCTGGTTGGTATCTGCCTCTCAATGCTCTCGTTGGCCCTTCAAGGCACTGTGAGGTTATTTACATAACAACGCAGTAGCCGTTGAAGTTCATGGTGGTCTGGGGGACCTTGGTGGAAGCAGCGGTGGAAGGCATGTTGATGGTTTGTGGGTTGTTTATTGAATGGATTCAAAGGCTGTTGTGGGATGAGGAGGAAAAGAAAATCCAGACTTGGGGAGGAGGAGACGGACGTTCTTATAGATTTTTCACTTCGTTGAATCTTCTGACAAACGTCAGTCTGAAGTGTGTCCTCCAATCTTACCTTGGTATCATCACTCTCAGACCAGAGGGGGAAGAATGACACTGCACCACCGGCTTCGCATTGCGCAGCCTCTTTGGCAGAACGAATGCGGCTTCGATGGCAAACAAAACGACGGTTTTGACGGGCTGTCCTATTCTCTCATGTGGTGAGCGCTTAGTATTGTGCATATCTTGAGATTGTACTCGGCGAACAAGGGACGATCTCTGCCATCTTTCATCCCTTTGCTTGCAATGGAGGCGTGCCACTGGATGATGTCAAGAGATATTATGAAAACTTGCACGTGGCACTCGCGTGTACATAAGCCCGACAAGGTTCTAGAACAAAACGTCCTTGTACATGATCGAAGTTAATCATTATTCTTGCTTGTTGCTATTGTAGTATACGCATACCGCTTTGCGTAAATGTTTGGCAGCTACTCAGGGGTTTGTTTGGTTGGCGACGTGTGGCGCTTAGTATTGTTCCTCCTTACTATTGTTTCTCGGCCCCATCGAAAATAAGACTCGAGTCAACTCGACACCGACAATGCCAATCGTTCCAACTATGCATGCAAACCCTTCTTTCTTCGGTCCTGAAACATTCAGGTATGCCTATGAAGAGAATGTGGTACTGTGTTGCAGTGGTTGCGTGTGCATCGTCCTCCTCGGAAACGGCCGTCTGTCGCGGTGAAGTGCCGAGGCTGGCGATGCGAGACTGGGCTATGAATTTTATTTCATTTTATTCTTTCAAAGAAGATGATCAATAAATACAAAGGTTGGTAGTTCGAATTGCTTCCGTTTAGAAGCGAGCAAAGGGAAGCCTGTTCTTGTCAGCGAATGCGTGGCGGCTACAGCAACACAATATGACATACCACTTTCCCTTGAGGGTGATGACCACCCACGAGGCGCCAGTCTCGTCGACTTCTTTGTCAACAGTAGTGTTGAAGCAGATGGCGCTCATGATTCCGTCGCCAAACTTCTCGTTCATAACAGCCTTGAAGGCATAGCCATAGTTCTGGACGATTTCGTACAGACGGTAGATCAAGGGCTCAACTGGAGGCATGGGGCCTGCCCGGCCGCGGTCAGGGAATCCCATCATCTGCTTGGCAATGGCTTCTTTGGGAACACTGAGCAACTCGGACAGCTTGTCGACATCCTCGGCCGAGGCCTGGACTTGCCCGTAGAACAAGCCGGCAACGGCAACTTCACTCCGCCCCAGATGCTGAGCAATGGCCTCGAAGGTCAAGCCCTTTTCTGTCTTGGCCTCAAAGAGCGTCTGGGAGTAAGCCGGGAGGCGGCTAGCGGTAGAACTCTGTGTGCCTCATCACTTAGTATTGGACTTCTTTGAGAAGGGTTAGACAAGATCGTACATCGAGGGAAGCGAGTCTCTGTTGCTCAGGCATCTTGTTTTTGATATCGGCGAAGCGTGTAGGATCAGTTGCAAACAAAAGGTAAAGGGGATAGGTGAAGTTAATCAGAAGTCCGTCGTATATAACACCAAGGTTCTCGTTTATTTTATATCAAGCCAATACACACTGTTCGACTTGACCGCACGGTTCACGATCGACTGGACGTCATGAACAACACAGCCGCGAGGGGGCAGAGGGGAATACCAGTATGCCGTACCAATCGTCGAGGGGAATCATACCCCGCGCCCCGCCTTTCCTCTTCTCCTTGGCTGGTCGATGTGTGTGGTGCCGTCGGACGGTCGGAGAAATGCCGGAGACTCGGGAACAGGCTCCATATATTAGGGAACCAAAGTGAGCCGAGACAGGTAATCGCGACTGCCGTTCCGATCGGGGAACAAATCAACAACATGGAACCTAAGGGATCAGAAAGCGCATGCCCGATACCGGTTATCAAGCGCACGACAGCCGTGGTGCACTAGCTCTCAAACATAGGTAGGTATTCTCAGCGTGGACAAAACGATTCAACGTAGCAAAGTGATCTATGACACCCGCCGTGATCGAAGTCAGCCTGTGGAATGTATATGGCGACTCATGAGTGGTTGCCAAAAATCCCTTGTGGCAGATATTTGATTTGATGATTAAGTACAAGAACGGTGAACGGCAACAACTGTTGAACGGCAGGCTTGTGATGTCAAGACCAGCACATGAACTGAATGTTGCGCACTACTGTGTAGGTGCAGTGGATTTGGCGGTACTTACATACCGTGACATGTTGGGATTGTTTCTTTCAGTTGTTACGGTGATGTCGCAAGTGGGGGTTGCAGCAGTGGATCGATAGATCAAGGTCGGGTGGGTCTCTCTCCAGCTGCTTCGCTGGTGGATCCTCCTGTCATGGAACAGCCCGGAGCCCCCGTCGCTGGTGGGCGCAGAGACGCACGAGCCCCATCAGCTAAGTGGGTACAGATCTCTTATCTTATCCGATGTGTGGGGAAATTTTTTGCAACATCGGACATTGAATCCATCAGGGACCAGCATCATCTGCCCAACCTTGACATCGGCTGAAGCAGTGCAAGAAGACAATCCAGGACAGCAAGAAGCCTGAAACATTTACGATGCCTCACAAACACACCCGCCGCGAGAAGGACCTGTCGACGTAAGCAAACAAAGGCGTGTTATACGATCAATTGATGGATACCTGACTTCCGACACAGCTTCGACCTTCCCCCAACCCAAATTGCAAAGCCGCTCCCGCCCACGACTATTTCCAAGAAGAAACAGCCTGTACAAAAGAAAAACACCGATGGCATCCAGAAGACTTCGTCCAAAAGGAAACGAGCACCTGAAACTCAGGATGCGCCGCGCGCCTTCAAGCGTCTGATGGCTTTTGCCGAAGGAAGGAAGCCGCGTTCCGGGCTCGACAATGGCGCACCGCCACCCAGCAAGAAGGCCAAGAAAAAGGCAGCTGCCGCCGCCGCCGCCGCCGCTTCCAACGAGACACCCGCTCCCGAGAAAGAACCAGAATCAAAGCCCGAACTCAAGATCCGACCAGGCGAGAAGCTTTCCGAGTTCAGTCAGCGTGTAGACGCCGCGCTACCCATCAGTGGTTTGGTGAACAACAAGGCCAAGAACGGTAAGGATCCGCTCGGTCTCAAGATCTGGCGAACGAGGAAGGAGATGAAGATGCACAAGCTTTACGATGAATGGAGGGTACAAGACGCCAAGATCAAGGAGAAGAGAGAAGAAGAACTGGAAGAGCTGGAAGAGAAGGAGATGGAGGAGGAGTCTATGGGCGTCACTTGGAAGCTGAACATGGAAGCGGGGAAGAAAAAGAAGAAGGGTAAAAAGGGCTCTAGATACCTTGGCGAGTCTAAGGAGAAGGAGGATGATCCGTGGGAGGAAATCAAGAAGAAGCGAGGCGAGGCCAAGGTCGGTCTCAACGAAGTGGCGGATGCTCCTCCCGAGTTGAAGATTCCTAGCAAGAAATTGCTTGTCGGCGGAGCGACGGTCGATGTCGAGGGAATCCCCAAGGCCGCGGGAAGTTTACGGCAGCGTGAGGAGCTACAAAAGGTTCGTGAAGACGTGGTGGCACAATACCGCAAGCTTATGGCTGAGCGGAGACCTAATACGCTCGTATAGCTAGGCTGAGGCGGATTGGGTAATGGCTTGTATTTCAATGGAGTCCTGTATGGCAGCACAAAATGTTGGCATGCATCTGATAAGGTTTACAAGGAGCGTAATCAAATTCTTTGCAGGGTAATGCCATAATACGAACGAATATTGACCAACCGCGCGCTGCTGGTTTAGGTTTGGATGCAGTGGTCAAATTGTTCCTTTGTGGTAGCCTGGGTAGTGCATTTGATGGTTGCCGACGGGACGGGAGTGCTATGACATCCCAATTTCGGTGGGTGCAGTCACCTGCCAAAACCTGTCATGTCGGTGACAAGAAGTGGAAGTGAAATGAGCACTACCTACCCCCAGGTACCTACCTACTCGTCATTCGTCATCGACACTCGCAATCGAGGAATGGCAAGAGCATTACACTTGCAACTCTCAGACGTCGGGAGCTTCCTCCAATTGCTTCCCACCCTAGTAAACAACATAAGAATAAAAAAAAAAAAGAAATAAAAAAAAACGGAAAGAGAAAAGAGAAAGAGAGAGAGAGAAGGAAAAATTCATTCCCCCACACAACAACGGACCCGACGGACCTGGACCTGGCCAGAAGTTGCGAAACGGAAAGTGCCCATTGCTCTAACAACCTAGAAATTTTCAATTGCCCCTCGTCTGCGACTGCCATCTTATCTCCGTCTACTGCTCGTCCCCCTCCATTCACTTGTACCGACAGAAACTCGAAACAGCGGCATTCCTTACCACTTTGCACGGATCCAGTTTGATAACCAAAGTCAAAAAAAAAAGAGGAGAAAAAAAAATATTGCCCTGGTCGCACTCGAAGCGAGATCCTTTCCACCCAAAGCGACACCACCAAGAAATCAACCAAGCTCCCCAGTCCGCCCAACGAAACGCTCGCCGCTACCACCTAGCGAAAAAATTGCATCGCGAGAGATCTTCGGTTCGAGCCCCAGCATCAAACTTTCCACCATCCTTTTTTATCGCCTCATGCCGACCGTCATGCACCACGGTTCTCACTCATTATGAGCGGCGTCGGTCTCGAGGTTTTGCTCGAGGGTCTCATCCCCGAGATCGCCTATTCCGGAGAGACAGGTGAGTTCTTTTCAATTCCCCGTTTCTCATCCTCATTCGCCTCCATACCTCCAGCCAAGAATCTCGATTCTCTTACACCAACATCCCGCCGCGCTATCACCCCCTTGGCAACAAATATTACAAGACTTGCATAAGCTTGCGCTGCTCTTGTTTGCAGTCAACCTGGGGGTGTTTTGTCGCAGACAAGTAGAAACGCAAAGTGATGCATCTTTGAGATGGACTTGAATACTAACTCAGTTTGATATTGCAAAGGCGTGTCTGTCTCTGCACTGCTGAGAATTGTCCGTCAGTATCACAACACTCTCGACGCGCGGCAAGATGCAACTTCAGGAGAAGATATCGCTGCTGTGGCGGCGCAAATCACACAGAAAGATGAAGAGAAGCTCGATGAAAGCTCTTTCTCACCGGCCGAGATGGTATCGGCTCGCTGGGCCTGGGATTGGCTGCGAACCCGACCCCAAATCTTAATCAACAAGAATAAGCGCTACAACAAGCTTGAGCTACAAGAAGTTCTCGCTCTACCGGAAGCCGCTGAGAGCAATGGAGCAGAAGTCGATGGCGAGCCTGCCGACATTTTCAAAGAACCCGCACCAAAAGCAAAACAGCCGGCGTCCAAGCTCAGCAAAGCAGCTGCTTCTCATCAGAAAGCCTCCAAATCGAGATTTAAAAAGGCGTTACTTACTATTCGGCCTCGAATCTACCCTGCCGAAGACCTTGTTTGGCAGACTCTCACTCGCCATGGTGTAGACTACAAGAGAGTCCCCGTTCTTGAATGGAAGTGTTTGCTTGGCATTGCATCTGTTAGAGACAAAGGCATTTTGCAGAGCGACCTTCGAAGATTAGTGGATCAGGATAAACGCTCCCTTCCCAAGCGAACCGATTCCCTTGCCAGGAAAGGCTACATCGCAAAGCGGACCATAGTAGTGTCCAAGATGAAAACTAGCAAGCTCTGGCTTATCGACTTCGCGCCCCCCATTCTGGAGACTGAGACTGGTGGTCTTGATTTGTCAGTCGAGACGCTTACCAAGGACCTGGAGCCCGTTACCTGGCATGATCGGTGGACTAGGGATAACATCGACATGGAGGCTTTCGCTCGAACCTTCGTCGGCGTCGTCAAGGCATGGCAAGTCATTCGCTATGCCGATTTGAGGTCCAAGATGGGCGTCGTGGGGAAACACTGGCAGATGAAAACCCTTGCCAAGAACTGTCAACGTATCGTTGACTTGGGTGTTCTCAAGTACACCGCTGCCACCTTTCCTGGCGCACGTAAAGTCTTCAAGGACTGTCTCAAGTTCATAAGGGACCCAACAGACGAGGAATGGGAAAAGTTTCTTGCCACAGGCAAGAAGACATCGCTCTATTCGGATGCCACACGCCATCGGGAGCCCAAACCTAATGCGCTGGCCCTCTTCGGAAAAGCCACCAAAGCCGATGAGGCGGCGAAGAACGAGCCCAAGCCCAAGCGTCGCCGTATCTTCCCTGGCTGGACTCCAGAGAAGCCCCTTGCTCAAAATGTATTTGAAGTGATACAGAGCGCAGGCCCAGCAGGAGCCTCGAATCCCCAGGTCAGCGTTGCCACGGTCGGATACGCCTTCCGCCGATACATGGCAAGCCACTTAACCAAGGTCGCTGAAACGCAGCAACCACCGCATCTCAAGCATTTTCAAGTTGTAAGCAGACTGGAGAGGAAAGGGAAGACTTCTGCCTATATGTTTTCTGTGGCAAACCCTGCTGCTGAAGATGATACCGAAGACACCCCACCCGCTGCGGCCGGCGCCAGTGCCTATGGCTTTGGCCAAGTACGAGCAAAATCGTTCCCCGAAACATCGGACCTTTCGCTTACGGAAATCTGCCGGTTGGCCAAGAAGCCTCGTTCGATGGCAAAGCGAAAAGGTCGCCACCTGAGCCGACTTGAAGCCATGTCACAGACCGAGGCCGAGGCGTCCAAAACCCCAGACGATGTTGTCATGTCAGGACAGCCGAACTTTGAGCCCATCACGCCAGTAGACCAGAGTGTGAACGGAGATGATGCCAACGCTGAAAACCTCGCAAGCCACACAGAGACTACGTCTCCTGAGCCTATGGAAGAGAGACCACCTGGTGCCTACAGAGGGATTCCTGGCTCTCTTAACCCAAACCCACAGACTACTGGACGACCCAGAAAGTCCATTGTCATTGTGTTCAGATCGCATAGGCTGAAGGACCTCAGCTTCTTGGGTACTTCTCAGGCGTCTGGCACGGATCGATCTCCGGCATCCCCCATCTTGGGAGGTACCAACCACCCAAAGACCGTACTGAATGCGAGCTATAATGGCATTTCCGGAAAATTGACATTCTCTTTGGAAGGCCGGGCGGTCATATTCGACAGGGATCTGGAAGAAGCTGGTAAAGAACCTCTCGCCATCAAAGCTGATGATATGCTGGATGATCCGGCTATACGGGACGTCCCTGGGGCAGACGGCAAGAGCTTGGTTGTTGTGACCAAGGAAAGTGGTAATGGGACTCCTTCCTGGACCTTCGTGTTTATTTTTGAGGACACGGACGAGCACAATCAAAAGGCCCTGGCAATTCTGAAAGAGATTGCAACACTCAGAACAAATCAAAACACCAGCCAGCTCATAGCTGCTGAACCATCAACCCCTCAGAGTATTGTAGATGATCTGGCACCAGCGAGAGGTGGAGCTGCTCGCGGTGGCCGTGGTGGCCGCGGTCGTGGGGGAAGCACCCGAGTCCGAGGAGGCCGTAGGGCGCAGATGCTTCCAGCCGACTCAAAGCCATACAAGTGCGAAACATGTGGTGGTGCTTGGAAGAATGACATTGGACTCAAGTATCACCAAACGAAAGCTCAAACGCCTTGCAACCCGAACTTCGACCCTTCTACTGTCATAGAACGCGGAAGAAAGCGACGGAGGATCATGTCACCGGAGCGTGATGCTGCTTCTGTAGCGTCGAATGCTGGAGATAATACAACCGTACCAGTTGGCACCCAACCGGAGAAGGACGGGCGCAGAATGCGAAAATCATCAGCTCGCTCACGCACCAATGTCAGAGCCGGTGTTCGAGCGATCCAGAATGCCGGAATGGCTTTTCGTGGGTTGAATGCCGACAATGTCATTGAAAGCGTAGAAGATGCTGCTCAACTACCGACTCATCAGCAACATCGAGGAGCCAGCAGTCCTCTATTTTCTCATGTCGCCCATGTTGCACCTAAGCCCAAATGTGGAGGAATCATCCGTAACTTCTCCAAGGAAGATGATACCCTCACAACACCCAGCAATCCCGGTAGCCAACATGATGCGATGCAGATTCAGCATCTTGTGGACGCACAACAAACACCCCAGCGTGTACAGCCATATAGTCATCAAGATGAACACCTCTCTATTCCCGGAGTTGATGCTAGTCTTAGAAGATCCCTCGTGGACCAAAGGAAATCAGTACCCTCAGTCCAACTATCGGCGTATACCGAGATACCGCACCAACAAGGCCGTCAAATTGGTACTAGCGGTTACGCCTCCGATCGTGCTTCACCTTCTTCCAGAGTTGTCCAGATGTCGTTGTATCCTGATCCTAGCAATATGCAACCCTCATACGCAGGCCCGGGCCCACACTCTAACCAGGGACATTATGTGCAAAGCCACCAAGATGTTCATGTTGCTTCATATTCGTCACCCCCTCAACCCTCCCGGTATTCACAGGAATACGGTCACGCACTGGATAGTCAAACAGTTGATGAAGCATACCCGGAACCGTACCCAGTCAACATTCAGCAGCATCAACAGCCTGCTAGCCAAGTTCAAGTTGAAGTGGCGCCGTTCATTCCTTCCAAAGACTACAGTCGTTTTTCCACCGAGGCCAAGAAGAGGACCGCCCAGGCTCGTGACATCATTCTGTATCTTCTGGACAACAACTTTGGCGTCTTCCCTGGGGGCAAATCTTTATTCTATGCCCTGACTAAAGTGTACCTTCGGGCGTTCAGACACCAATCTCCTCCAACCTGGAAGAATCATCAGGCCGCAATCAAAGCGCTGGAAACTCGCCATCTAGCTATTCTTCACACCCACATGCTGAGGACGGAGGCGGGCAGGTTCATTGAACTCTCTCTTATTTTGAAAACTGGCGTCAAGACCAACGATCCAATGCCAATGAAGGTCAAGAGAAGGATGAAGGAGAAGTATCCAAGCCTCTATATTCCCACAGCGTTTTCACCGACGCAAGAAGAGCTCGCCACTTTGGAGGAACTGTACGAGAAACCTGCTGGTAATAGCAAAGAAGAGCGGAAGGTCAACGCAAATGGCCAAAAGTTTCGAAGCAGGAGAAAGATTGACGAAGTCGAAGTCTTTAACGCGCCCTTTTACACTCAGCACAACGATGAGAAAGTCCGCGACTCTACGGATCCTCTCTGGGTATTGGAATCTGAAAAGGCCAGCTCCTACAAGCGCCCAGCGGGAGATGAGCTTTCGGACGGCCACCCAGAAAAGAGAGCAAGATTGGATGAGCGAGGTACACCAAGCAAACGTGACGGCGCGCATAATGACGATTCGGATGGTTCCACGTGGGAGCCGGATCACACATCCCCCTATCACACAGGCCCGAGGAGGAGGGGACGTCCCGCAAAGCTTTACGCACCAACTTACACGAAACACATAACCGACCAAGATGAGAATATCGAACCCCCTTCAGTCATTGAGGCGATCAAGGCATACGGCCTGTTGCCGGCTAAGTACGGCAGTAAGAAGAAAGAAGCGGCGCTCAGAAAGTTGCACAAATTGCTTCCGCATGTTGGTAAAGTGAGAAATCCAGGATTGGGCAGCTTGCCGCCTTGGTTCTTTGACAACCGTCTACGACCTATCGAGAAACGCGTTGTTGAGGTCCAGTTTCTAGAACCTAACCTCGACATCCATGAGGCCGGTGCTTCCACAGAAAAAGGACAGTCGAAGCAAGCTGCGAAGTCAGTCCCATCAAAGGACGTAGAGTCCACAGCTGGCGATGATGCCACATCAAATAATGAAAAGGCTGAGGGAGTCCATAAGCCCGTAGTATTTCAGTTCGCCCCTTGTACTACGATTCAAGACGAATCACGGGGTTCTTGGTCCTCAAAGGGGTGGCAATTCTTCGAGAACCACAATGGTAGTTTTGCTGTCCAAGGTTGGATGCCAGATCTTGACTCTCTTACAGAGGAGAACCTACCTCGCAGTGCTGAAGCGATGGCCAAGGGCCCAGGGATCACATTCAACCCCGATAGCTGGAAGGATCCGGAATACGGGAGAGTCACCACACTCATTGACAAGTGCGTGGCGTGGGAACGCTCTTCACCTGGTACCGCCTTACTCACAGCCAATATCGTGTCGTCGAAACCTATTTTCATCAACATTTCTTCATCGACGACCAAGACTAGTATGAAAAATCTGACGCTTAAATGGTCAGAGGATCGACAGTTTGGCTTGGATACCTTGCCGTATGATGACGTTGTTCAGGTGGCGGACGATGAGTCGCTCCCGTATGACGGTGACAGCCCCGACAGAGTCATCGTACGGCCTGTCCGGGCCACTCGCACGACCCGGAAAACTGAACCGAACAAACCGGGACGAAAAGGCCACGGAGGCCGGCCTCCCAAGATCAAACTTCCTGCCATCAAGACGGAGCGTGAGCACACAGCTTATCCCACCACGGACAATGACTTCTTGCGGGTTTCCGGTGACCGCTCACTGGAGCTGGACTGGAGCAGCGATAACGTCAAGGTTACCGCGTTTGTGGTCGTCACTACACTGCTGGGTGGTGTTGACAGGGTGGTTGATTGGGGTTTGATGATGAGACTCTTCCCCGATATGACGCTCAGCCAGCTCAGGCATACTTGGGGTTCTTTGAAGAAGGACCGTATGTCGAGTATTGTGAACCTGACTGATAAGTTCAGACGTGCTTTCCTCAAAGCCTATGGAGTGGGCGTGCCGAAGATCAATTTTGACAATATCCTCGAATACGATTGGAAGTGGCTCATCAAGTGGGCTTCCAACCTTGACGAGTTCCGTCATGCCGACCTACCGAAATCCAGGACTGCTCTCGAGAGAGACTATAACGTTACCGGAATAGGAATTGAGGATCGTGAGTGGCGAGAGACATACAACCATCCGCAGCGTTCGGTGTTCAACAAGTTTCAAGACGCAACGTCGGAAGCAATGGCACTGTCAATTGATGAAGACGACAGCAAAGAACAAGACGATATCAGAAGAAGAGAGTTGGCACTTGCCATGGCATTCATGCGATCATTATGCGTGACGCCGATAGAGACATACTCAAAGGAGCACATCAGCAAGCAACGCAACAGCTTATTCCCCACCCTCTCTAGAGCAGAGGTCGAGGGTCTCATGGTGAAGGGCGTTGATCAGCTCCAACGTGAGGGTATCATCTCGAAATCCAACTCCCGGTTCCAGAATGGCTGGCGTTGGCGCATTGCCAACCGAATCACCGACCTGCTCGACAAGGTTGCACACGAGGAAAGACTCGCTCAAGCCCTCGCCTACAAACGGGAACTCGACAAAGCCTTCCGGGCTGGTGAGAAGAAACGTGTCACATATATCACCAACGACGGCATGATTATGGCCCTGCTCAACCTGCAAGCCTACCAGCGCGTCCGCATCGAGACCACAGGCCAGCCACACGTACCTATGGGTTTCGAACCGGGCAACTACGAGACGAGAAAGTATACCAAGAAATACCTTCACTTCCGCATAGATGTCATCCCTACGGAGACCTACCGCTACGACGACGATCAAGAGCTGGTTGATTTCCGCAAGCGCATCATGTCAGCACCGCCTCCTAACATGGGGCCGGATGGCGCGACGCCCATCTGGTGCGATGTGTTTAGCCGAGTTGACGCAACTCGGTGGTTGCGCTATCTGTGCGTGGTACTTGTCACGATCGCTTCCAAGGGTGCCATGGGCCCTGAGGAGCTGTGCAAGACGCTCAAGCCAGCGATAATGCCGTTTGAAGCTGAGCTGATCATCAAGTGGGCCCAGGAGTTGGGTATCCTTGGACAGCAGTATGAGGGCACAGCCCTAACGGTGATGGAGTGGTGGTGGATGGTCTTGGACGCGCAAAGGCAAGGTCTGGAGTCTGGTCTTGCTGGTGCTGATGTAGCAGAGGGAATGAGGACTAGGAGAATGTTTCCTGGCATGATGAAATTCTAGCTTGACCACTGGTGTATCCAAGACGAGAACTGAGATGAAGATGTCAAACGGATCTGAGAAGATTATACAGCTTGTGAAGGAAGGTTATGGCTTCTCAGTATTGCTCAGAAAAAGATGTGCTTCAGGTGTCTGTGGCCGAGGGAGCAACTGTTGGAGCAGAGACGAACATTGTGAAGGCAAAGCAGCAGATGTGAACGGAGAAGGGGAAAAGGGAAAACACAGATCATGAGCTCCATTTCAGGTCTACTACTACCATTAAATGATACCCAGCACACTTTCAATTTCAGTTTCATTGCAAACCATTTGTTGAAAATCATTATGTACATGCTGTCGACGATGTGGGTTTAGGTGTCTTTGCTTCACAGCTCATCGTCTTTCGGTCAGTAATGACCGGCAGATCTCCAGTGTCGTATGTTCCTGTCCTGCATCACATCAAAGCGTTTCCCTTTGCTAATTCGAGTTCTCGCACACACTATTCTTTACGGTGTTTTTGAGCCGTCCAGGAACATTACTCTCTCCAATAGCTAACAGGCTATTCTGAGGTATCTTCCGTCTTGACGAAGTGTGTGAAGCAAGCATCACGATGAGTGGAACATCAGTAATGGCTTTAGACGCAATGGTATATGCCTGATGTCTGTATCATCCCTTGGCAGTAACGAATTTGACTACTGTCATCAGATGCTTTACTGTGTAAACAGCAATGCCAATACCGAACTGGCTCCGAAGGTCTCACAAAATATGCCGTATTTCGAGGAGCATAATTGGCAGATGTGATGGCTTTGTCATCCATCCATTTACACAACTCGTTGGTCAGACTGAGAACTATGGCATCTCATGACGTACTTCGACTTCGTGATTAGGACACTGACTGTTATCAAATTCACTTTTTGATTCATTGATCAACTCTCTTTCCGTCAAAATGAGATAAATAAAGATGAAAAGGTTACACAAACTGAAGGGCTGGTTGCTCGGCTTTGAGGATCGCGGACAAGTAGGGTCATCGAAGTAGCGAAGAGTGCCATTTGGCTAGCCAATAATGAGGGCAGGCGAACACATCCTTCCCGGACGGACAGACAAATCGATCTTTTCTAACCGACCCAGGCAAAAGAGAAGGAAGTGAAGCAAAGAGGGAACGAGGTGACGAAGGAAGGCACCCGGTTGCCTTTTCCCGGATAGAGTGAAAGGGGAAACCGCCGAGCCAATGGTACCTGCCGGTCTCTTCGTATACATTCCTCGACCATTGGTCGTTTACTCGAACCGGCGTCGTAACACAGTTCGACAAGAAGTGGTCAAAGAGAAGAACACGTGAATTCAAGTGCCCATCCGCTGCCTGTACTGCTTTTATGCCGGGAGCTTGGAGAGCGGCAATCAGAAGAGGGGTTCCGAAACTAGCTGGCAGAGGCTGTCAGAATTCAGACAAATGGAGAGGATAAGAATGTCAACATTGCGACTGCTTGCTGCCTGGCCCGTAATCAGATGATCTTTCATGCAGAACCAACACGAGGAAGGAGGATCAGGGTGGTATACCAAGCATATAAGATGACTGATATCAGGAAATGCGTCTGTCTCGCTCAGTAGCGGTACATAAAGGTTCAGAGACACTTGAACTTGCCGAAGAACCGTCTCCGCCTGCCAGCTGGTGTGGGCGACACCTTCTTCATTAGTCCTGGTTTGTTCCCTTGAGGCAACACTGCATAAGGTACGGAGGTGCTGGCAGAGCAAGACAGGAGGGGGGCGAAGTCGGTCAATGATGATTGAGGACTTCGGCTGGCCAGCTGAAGTGCTCCTCGTTTGGGCGATCTCCACAATGTCCAATCCGGACCTGGTAACAAGGTGTCAGGAAGATGCATTGCAATCGGCGTGCTCGGACCAGCACCGTCTGGTCTGTCTGTCCCGCCGTCATGCATTACGAACAAGTAGCGACTAGTCCTGACACCGTTATAGGCACTCGGGCCTGTTCCTTTCGGCGAATACGGAGGTACCAAGATAATATGTCCAACTCTGTTGTGTACACGCTAGGTAGGAGCGTTGATGGTCAGAGAAAAAGGGGCACCCATCATGTAGATGAAAATAGGAGTCAGAGAGGCGTCAAGTCGCGCAAAGGCGACCAGTCCCTAAGCGCTATCAAACGCTGCCAGAGCTATCGATAGGACTTTTTGTGCGACATGAGCTGGCCAACCCCAGAGGCAAACGCCACATCAAATGCCAAACCGCTGCATGTCGCAATCTCTTCCCAACCTCCAACCACTAACGACCACCGCCCAACGAGAAGTCCACGATACACTCGACACACCTCGCCCAGACCTCCTCGGAGGAGGCACCTCTACATCCATCTCACCGTCATGGCCTAACACGTTGCGGCCGTGGATGAGCTGCGTCATGCCAGATATCTCCCAAGGTAGCCGAGGGAGGACAGCGGGTCAAGTTGACCCAACAAGCTTCAATCATGCCCGCTTGATCAGGCATTTCAGGGGCCAAGTCTCCTCCCAACCACACACTTTTCCCCATGGCTGCCTTGCCGACATCTCCTGCATGTTTGCCCTACCTGTCTTTTTTTTTTCCCCCTCTGTCGCTTTCAACATGACAGCCTCCATCCTGACCAGACCTTCGGCATTGCCTATTTCCGGTTCTCTTTCAGCCATCTTTCTCTAACACATTGCAGGCTATCCAGCTCCCCCGCGGTTCTTATTCCCAGGACAATCTCGCGCTATGCGAATTCTCAAGCCACAGGGAAATGGAAACGGGAGCTGAAGAGCAGAGAACTCCCACAGTGGCTGACAGGGCATTCGCGGAAGAGGAAGGTGGTCGAGTCAGAGCCCCAATTCATCCCAGGCCAAGACCTTCTCCAGGAAGGCAAACAAAATCAAGATGAGACAGCGATTCCTACATGAATACAAACAAAGCACCAGCTTGCAAGCGCCGGCGCGCAGTGGTCTACGAGAATCTTGGCAGAAGATGCTGTGATAAAAGGTTAACAGATAGATCACTGCCTACCTTCATCCTCGCTTTCCGACAAGGGACTGCCTCCCCCAATTCGTCCCATAGAAACCTCGGAAAAGCTTCCAACATACCCTAGCATGCACCTTGTCAGCACGAGCAAAGGTTGCTTATTCCATATCCTTCCCGTATCCCTATTCCAGCTGAAGAGGCCGGAAACAAGGCGGCGACCCGAAAGCCATGCAGACATCCAGATACCCAGCACTCTGGCATGCTGAGCCTCACAAGAAGGCAACCTCCATAACACATGTTTTTTTGCACCTGCATCTTCTTTTGCACTTGCTTTGGTCAAGGCTGGCTTCACTTTACTTTGCATTGTCGCTTCCCTGATCTTACTTGTCTCACCTTCCACTCGCTCATCCAATGGACAGGGGCCTCAGAGACGTGAGGAAGCCAAGAGATGTTAGGAATAGAGTGGTACTTCGGAGAGTACGGTGTTCTATCACTATCTGAGAAAATACAAAAAAAAGAAAAGAAAAAAAGAAGAAAAAAGGACCAGGAACCAGGAGGAGACGCCACGCGACCTCTAGGCCCTTTTGGTGATTGTAGCTTGTGCTACCCCCTGTGCCCTTTCCGTACGGACAATGGCGGGAGGGATTTTCTTGGTGGCGGGAAGCCTGGGAGTCTGTTGTGCTAACTTGACAAAGTAGCAGCACACAGAGATGAAAGACGCTGTCGCCTACGGGAATATTCATGGAATCGCGGTTACACTTGATCCTGTACACAAAATTCACTGCGTGGGGTCTCCTTCTTACTGTCGTTTGGCTCCCAAGTCTATGTGCAGGAGGCTTTCAAGGTCCCGAGCCACTGAGATATGGTTTTATCAAGAATGATCTGTGTTCCATACATGAATGACGTCGGAGAGATCAGACTGCCCTATTATTTGTTTATGGAAAGCATGTGAGCAACCGCCCACTCATTACAAAGAGCAACATGATCTCGAACAATAGGTTTGGGCGTGAGGGATCCTCTACCCCGTATCACGGTTTGACAAGGAGACGTGAGAAGACAGGAACGCATGACAAGTATTGCCTGAAACCAATGAGAAGCACGACTACAAATTTACGATGCCACGATACACTTGGTGATGTACATCAATAAGAGTGACTCGAAGATAGGGAAGTATGCTCTGTGACACGGTACTCCGGTCTTCGGTTCCTGACCGGAGCAGACGGCCGTCCGTGGCGAGCTCACCGTTTTCACTCTTCAACAGGGTCAACCCCGCCTTGGGTCTTCCTCAATCATACCAGAAGCCCGATCGAAAGCACGTCATTTCTCTGTTAATGGTCACGAAGTAGGCCACGCATGTGTGCTTACGCATGCGTGTGTTTGTGTTATTGAGATCGGTGCCTCTATGTCAGGCAGTCAGGTGTGTCTGGCTCTATGTAGGTATCCGGGTTTACTGCCCGGTCGTCCCGGCTTGAATTGCCCCAGACTGTCGCCGGCGCATCCTTCTTGCTGCCTCAATCACCATATATCCCGCTGTGTGCCATCTATCTTTCAACCGGGCGGCTACTGAAATTACTGGGCGATGCGAGGATAGTGTGCCTGCCAAAGAAGTGGAGCGAGATCATGGGTGGTGTCACGAGCCTCATCATGTTTCATGCAACATTCTCTTTACTACAACCTATCTAACGGCTCCTCACCTCACCCGATTAAGGGAGATTGGTGGTTCCCCGACAGTCTATCATGGAGAAGTGAGCATGGATATTGTGATGACGACTGATTATCGACAGGCTGGGCCGTCAAAAGAGCGTGCCTTTAGCCATAACCGAACCTATAATATTATATCCCCAGCGCATGTAAGCACCCATCCATCCATACAGACTGGCACCCTTGATCCATGTCTCTCTTGGATAATGGCATCTGGGTCTTAAGGCAACCTGACACCCCCAGAGCGTTTGGTCGTCAGGCTCACACACACCGGATACTTGCTGGAGATTATTCATTGTCTGGGTGGGCTATTGGTATCACGACAAATAGCAATCTTGGAATACTTGCTGTTCCATTTCCTCCCCAAGGCCCTTTCATCATGCACCTTCTTGGTCCCTTGCTTCACTGGTCTTTGAACAAAAGCTTAGACATGGCGACATCTTACCTACATGGCAATATCTGGACTTCTAGCTTTGGTGAGCTGCAGAGCGTACCGTACGAGGAAAGATCGACACCCATGAAAAGCCTTCGTTTTTCGTTGTATATTGCGTCACCATTGGGTAACGATGCTTTGGAACCTCGGAGCGTCAAGTGTCTTTGGAGGGAGAAAGACAAAAGCAGAAAAAAGAAGAAAAAAACCCCCCGTCGAGAAACAAGGACTAGTTCAACCACAACACTACCGCTTCTACTTACTCAAGCGGTTTTGCTCAAACAGGTGTAGCGCTATGGTTTAGTTTTGATTGCAACTGATTGCATGCTTGCCAACGTGGCCATTCTGATGCTCGGGCAGCTTGAGAGATAGATATTGGTGGACTCAGAAGCATGCTTTGGACTCCCGCGCTGAACTTTGCTACTCTCAGTTAGACCCGGAGTTAGATGGGGTTGAGTGAAGCAGTACTACATGACAGACCTCCCTCCCTCTCATGAAATCCATTCTATCTCGCTGGCATGCTGTCTGTTTTTGTTCTTAATGAGTGTCTCGATGCCTAGGTTGACTTCCGAAGCATGCCATAGCAGTCCGAAGAAGCGAACGGAGCAAGGAATCTCACAGGGTTTGGCAAGAGGCATCAGGAGATTGTTGCTCTCATATCTCACACGGTAGGGCCTGTCCCATCACGGGTCAGACGACCGAGAGAGTGAGGTTCGACAACGAAGAGAACAGAGCCAGTGGCATAGCGAGCCAGGTAAGTGACCCCCGATGATGACTAGTTAGACACCAGCTAAGTCATCTTGAGATAGAACATAACTATTTTGAATGTGTAGCTAACGACGTTGAATGCATATGACTTGTGCAGATTTTGACCGTTCAGTGCATGATGCCGGTCATACAGCAGTAGCCGTACCCTATGGGCTCGGCAAATGTTGTGACATCAGACCGGCGGGAATCTCCCCTTGAGCAACCGCGACTACAACGACAACGAGGATTGACCTGTACTTTACCGAGCCCGGCTGGTTATGGGTATAGAGAGGACGTTGTGATAGAGACAGCAATGACAACCCAAAATCGTTACGATACGAGCCTGAAATGGGCAGTTATGGGCTGGTATAGGCCAAAAACGGTATGAAAAAGGCTTACTCTCCGCGGTCTCTTAAACTTCATTTTGAATCTAGGTATGAAAACACGCGCCGGGCAGCCACTGTTCAGTCCAATTGCATTGACGGACAGTAGGTAGCAAACGACGGTAGTCTAGTCCCTTTCAACCATTCATATTCTCTCAACCCAGCTCACTGGACAGCAAGGAACTATATGGGCCTTCCCAACTAGGTCGCTCTGAGCAGCCCATATCCTAGCTCAAACATATATTGCATTTTACCCATGGCGTTCAACTTGTTGTTTCCTTCCCCAATGTCTTTCGCCATTCCTCCGACTCTCATCTTTGAGTGTGCGGTGACTTGAAAGTCTCTGCGATACTTTTCATTTTCGACAGCTTCCGGTATCAGGATTGATTGCAAGCTAGAGGTCATGTATCTGCCTCTACATCTCGTCTATCGAGCTACCGTACCGTACGTCACTGCGTATAGGAACATGTTTCCTTATCAGAAGCATGGAGCAGACAGGAAAAGAGAGCAAACCCCATGCAGTTTCAGGACGTGACATGTCGTATTCCTCGCCTTTTAACCCAAAACAAAGAGAATGGTATTGTTTATTCTTTGCCGAACCAGCCAACCTCTTCTATTCCGGACGGAACAGTGTACTCATTCTTTCCCTCCCGATTTCGAGGAAATCTCTGTGCCAATGTGGCTTCTCTGTATATGAGCAATTAGTCAACAATATTTCTCCTGTCGTATATTTTACGTTGTGACTTCCAATTACTGCCCAAGGTAGCCAGCCTAAGGTACAGTTGACTCTCGCCCATTTCCCCTTCCAAGTTCTGTCTTGCGTCCTCCGCCATTGAGACTCTATACTCAGAGTATCTCTCCTTGACATCTTTGGGCAAAAACGGCATAAGAGCGTTCGTTATATGCATCGGAAATTTTGAGCTGAAGGGCATGATGACAAGCTAAATGACAGACTCTTCACAGACCATACCTACATTTATGGCGATTACATCCCGCGAAGAAACAAACAACACCAAGATGTCCTATCTGGGTAAGTCCAGGACAAGAACCTTCAACGGTCGCTGACAATCCTCCCATTTCAACCCTTCCGGCATAAGCAACCCAGAGCTGAAGAGATCACGACAACTTGCACATCACGGGAGACAGGTGGTAGATGATTGATCGCCTATCCCAAACATCAAACTTTACTTGCCTCTCTTACCTACCTAGCATCCACCATTCAATGTTATCTACTATAGTTCCTAAGTAACTCGACGCGGAATGATTGAGGTAGGATTCCATCCCGAAGGCCACATCCTGAAGACCGAAGAGAACGCACGAAAGGAGAAGAAAAATGATGAATCAGGTGTCATCGGTGTCATCATGAAAGCTGGGCACAGGTCTTGGGTTACCTATAGGATGTCTCTGTGACAGAACTGATGTGGGGGGGATTGAGGAAAGAGTGATGAGGGCATCATGGGCCTTGGCGGTATGACTTTGCTGCGACAATGGTGAGTGATAACTCACTTTCTTTGTTTGGTAGAGACATTGTTGTGTTGGTAAGGCAGGGGCAGCTGGATTGTAGCTGTCGCGGCTTCCGTGTTCTAACCCACAGCTGCGGTGTTTACCCGGAAAACACGGGAAGGCAATCACAGCCCACCAGGCCTGGTGGAGGTTTCGTGGGACTTGACCTTGGGAAGATGCGATTAGTTGCATACAGGCTTCTAGAGGTGGGCGTGTCGGTGCTGCCTATAATGACAGAATTTGCTTATAACCATAATCAGACAAGTAGAAGGAAATGGAACCTCGTCCACATCTTATTTCCCTCTAAATCTCACCCGTGCCACCAAACTTAGATATCCGCGTAGCAAAAGCACAAGGAAGTCGGTTACACACACAGATACACACACATGCACAGAGATGCCTGAGATCCGTCAACAGGATGACATGCTCCTCTCTCAGGATGTATTACCTTCACTTGCAAGAATCGTACCTAATAACAGATGTTATGGCAGATGCCTACCACTTTATTACTCCAGCGTTCAAAGCAGACAGATACAAGTCTGGTTGCAGCCCAGGAACCAATGAAAGGCGTGCTGAATCGCGGTCGTACCCTGTCTGCGTGTAACCAAGCTTGACTGGACTGTAACGCTTTGGGATCTTGCCTTCGCCAAAGATCTCCTCCTCGGAGGACTATCGACGACGTGGAGTGTCTTTCTAAAGCTTGACATCAGTGATGTCTGTTAGACTGTAACTATCTCTACGTAACAGAGTATGTTCAAGGTCCATACCATCCACCCTGCTTCGGTAAGGCAGGAGCATCGATTCGAGCGTACCCTCACTCCTGCAGTAGGAGGCTGTGAGCCATAAGACAAGACAGGGCCTCCTCTGACACACGTCCCGCATGTCCCTATGTCGCCTCACCTACCTACTAAATTAAAGAGGGAATTCGGTGCTCGGACGAAGGATAACCGAGGAAGAACTTGTACCATCGTATTAAGCCTCGCAAGCCTAGAGGTACTCAACCCCACGTTTTATCGTCGATTTACACTAGTATCGATCAACCCCTTGTTCATCCCCCTTGTCTCCTTCATCCCCCCTCGCTCGCTCGCCATTTCCATGGGTGGAATGCCACCCTCCTAACCAAACATTTTGATGGCAAAAGAGGAAAGAAAGGCAATAGCATGGGTTCAAAGATCGTTCGGTTGATCAATGAGATGCATGTCAGGTTGTTGGTGCCGGCCAACTACCGGTTGAGGGGCCCTTACCCTGGAGAAAAGCGGTTAGAGAAGGGAGAGAAGGGATGGGGAAAGAACATGGATGACATGGACAGAGGATGGTACTGGATCATTGATGTACTAACTGATAACCTGAATATTAGCAAGTGTGTACTAGAGGTATCAACGCAGCCGAGGGCAATCAGCAGAGATAAATATGACAATAGCCATACTGAGGACAACGAACTCAACAGCACGGGAAGATGCACATATCCACCAGACAGATTTGCAGGACGCCCTTCCGCTTGGTTGCTTTCTTCTTCCCCGCATGTTTTTCGATCTTCCCTCTTCATGTTCGAAAAGGAAAAAGGGGAAAAGATCAACAGGAAAACGTTCGGCAGGACAGAGATCTTCCCATGGACATTTATTGATCCCGGTTCCGCGAGTGAGCCTATTCAAATTTTACCAGACTCTTCTGAATCAGCACCGATACATACACCACATCACTGATACGTCCTCCACTCACTGTTCACTCTTGGCGAACATCACAACCCCCAAGGATTATAATACCATGACACTTGCAGTATCTCGCCATCAATGCATTTCATGTGTCCGTAAGGTAAGTTTCTACTAAACGCTACCAAGCTGGCGCTGTACGTTGTTTGCCTCAGCGTTTTCAGGTTACGACCGCATCATCGACCGCTTCATTGGCTTTATTGGCACTAGTAGCGGCGGCATCAGCACGTTGTTTCCCTGTGCCCAACCGTTCCTCCAGTCAGTCAGACACTCAAGCAAGCAGGCCACGCAACGCCACGCACCGAAACGGAACCAACCATTCAGCCAACTAGCCAACCAACTAGAGTTATCTCCCGTAACCAACTGATCCCCAACAACGAGTCAGTAAAGCCAACTGGGAACAGGCACAGACAACCGTTCTGTTTCTTTGTGTTTCGGCAGACCATAGCCGAGCAAACGAACGACTATGATGCTGCTGCTGATGATGATTTTGCTTATGCCATGCCTTGCTGGATCTCTTGCAAGAAGTGTATTGCATGTATATAACATATACGCAGTAAAAGAGTTATAGTTTACTAGTGTCTTCCAGGAGAGGATGATCACCACTAGACTAGTTAGCAACTAGTTGGATAGACGGACATGACAAACTCGATAGTGGCTTCATTTAGATATTAGCCCCATTCACTAACAGTCATGAAATGTGCTTGGGTTGCTCCCGATCTTCCTCATCTTTCACAGCACACCAAGCCCCGCCCTCCACGGCGTTACGCAAAGTGCAAGTGCGGGCACGGGCGGGACTGGCCGCCAGCCAAACGGACGGCCGGCCGGTAGGCAGGCGTTGAATGTCTGTATGGCGCAACGGTCCAGTCGGGGCCTTCGGTTGTCCGTGGGCAGATGGATAGACAGGACGGGCGGGAAGAAGGAGGAAGGGGATGGATGGATGGATAGATGAATAGTTGAAGAGCAGCATTTGCCTGCCGAATGAAACAGACAGATAGACGGCTGAAGCATGGAAAGATTTGCGTCGGAGTCCTCTGTCTTCTGTAATAACAACCTTGAGATTCTGGGGTCCTCAGTTGAATCCGGTACGTCCATCTGGCTTCGGGTCCCCGCTAATTTCGGGGATCTTTTGGGTAGACGGATGTCCGCCAGCGCGCCCGGAGTAAGCTAGATAGTGGGGTTTACTCACTCGAGCAGGCAAAGATACATGGCACTTTGCTGCTCGTGGCTGCCCGGGCAAGGTACACAGTTGATTTTAATCAAGAAAAAATGGCATGTAGAGGACGGTATGTTGTCCATCCGTGGTATCTAGGTACCTTTGCTGGTTGAAATCTTTCCATGGTGACAGTATCTTCCTGTTCCCTCTTCGAATCCTTCCGGCAGTCAGTGACTGAACGCCGCAGCTTCCACTAAACTAGGTAAGTGTTGATTATCCAAATGATCATGCCACTCATCTCTTCGATCAGCCCCATATGACACCGTCCTCGCATACCGGTATATGCCAAGGGGTCATCTGGTGGTTCACTAGCGTTTGAGTGGAGAGAGGTGAGACCGACGGCATCAAGACGTTCAAGATCACGAAATGGAACCGGACCGATCATAGTGAACATCTGGAAAAAGAAGGTGCAATGGAGTGAGAGAGAGAGAGAGATCCTGCTCCCACAGAACCAAAACAAGTAGAAGCAAAACGAAAACGCTACGGGGCAGTGACGGCCAAGAGAGCCAGTGGGAAGGAACGGATAACCGCGGCGCTGGGTAGTATTCATAACGTGGAGGCAGGAGCAACCAGAAAATAAATGAATTCCACTGATGAACAAAACTAACCCGCAAGGATGTGAGAGTGAGAGCGTTTGTGAGCGGGTGAGTTGAGGGAAAAGGCGTGTTCTCATGTCTGTCTGACGTGGCTAGACTGGAGGATGGAGACTGGAGAGTGGATGGGGCAATATCTATCAAGATCTAATCGAGCAAAAGAGCGCAATTGGTTTGATAGGGCAGGTATTATAGCCGAGAATGGGGCAAAATGCTACCCTAAATCAGCTTGACTTGGCTGTTGTATGGATGGTTGTTTAGTCAACATGCGTAGTCCTAGACTATTTACTGTAGCCTCAAGTCCTACGGGTAGGTAGCAGATAACGGGTCCCGTCCCAGATCCCGTTTCGCTCCCCGTGGGCCCTTCAAATCCCTTTGCAATCGCTTAGACAAATCTCGTGACGGACCAAGAATGCGAACAAGTGAGAACGAGAGAAACTTGAGGGCGGGTAACGAGGCGTGCTGTGCTGGCACTTTGCATTCTCCTGGGATATGTTTGATTCTGAAAACATGAAGAATGATGGCAATGTGCAGTTTTTGATGTGCCGAGACGGAACCTAGACGGCAAGTAGAACAACCTCCTCTCCTATGGATTTCTATGGAGTCTTCATGATGGAGTGTGATAGGTCAGTTGAGAATTACCAATTAACTTATATAAATGATCATGAAAACTATTCTTTGGATAAGAACGTCTTTTACGCTGTAATTGCTGCATTATACCTTTATAAGGGCTTCTATATACCAAACGATCTTTTTCAGAATCCCTTACATTTCTTACAAATGGAACCATTACACCGCTCTTAATAGTTAGTTCACACCCCATAGACTTAGCAACTCAATACTCACTACCTGTAATTACACTACGCCCCTCTAATGGATAAATATCAACGTTATTATCCACTCTAGTAGGTATATATAGGAATTTAGTTCCAGTTGGGAACTTAAATACTACATCCAAGACCAAATAATTTAATATTATTTGTAACGGGTCTGCTAGAGTATTACACAGCGAGCAGTCGTGTATAGTTGAAATGCTATATTTAATAAAGAGAGCAAGAGAAGACTGTACTAGAGGGGTGCAATTGAAAGAAGGTTTTATAGTCGGGCGCACGGGCCAGGCAAATATATGGATCCGACCAATCAGGAGGCTCGTATCCTTATCGATACGACCAACCCGTCTTGGTAGACTTAGTAAAACCGAGTCTTTAATCTTAGGCGCTAGCCCTATAATATTACCCCCCTACTCCTCCCCCTTAGGGAGCGCGCCCTACCACACTAGAAAACACTCTACTAAATATACGAAAAATGACCAAAATCCGCTACAACCGCTCCTAGCCAAATTGCCTAATTAAATAGGTATAAATATTAATAATATTAGAAAGAAAGATTTCCCTATTTAAGCCCCTAAATAAATGCTATATAATTACTTACTCCCTACCCGAATTAGTATTACTACCCTCACAGAACTATACGCTAGCCGAAGTACTAAGACTAAATTAGGGGATATTTCTAAACCTTACCTATCCGGGGACTATTACTGTATTACTTTAGTAATCTATAATAGAGACAACGAGAATAAAAGCTATTACCTAATACTTCGTATCGTTCTACTTCTCCTACCAATAAGAGCCTCATCTTTATCGCTATAAAAATAGTTTAATAATTTTATACTTACGAAATATAACGTTTACTACCCTCCTACAATTATATTTTATAATAAATACTATTAATACAGCTAAGCGGTAGAGGGTATTATATATTAATCTTATTACCTTCTAACTAATAAATAGTATACCTAATAAACCAATTAGAAGCCCCTCCTTTTGGGCGTAGCAGCGCTCCTCTACCTTCAATATTATTAGGGTTGGTTTCTAACCTTTACTCAATCCGAATCTTCTCCTCCTCTAGTATTACTATTGTAGCCGTTTAAGCCCCTACTGGGTTATAGCCGGACTATATTTATCTTCGAGATCCGAGGGCACTTCTTAAACTAGTACAATCTACTATTATAATTAATATACTTACCCTCCTTCTTCTATTTATTCTTCTACTTCTAGGAGACCTTTCTACTCCCTTTTATCTTTATTGGAATAGTATAATTAATAGAGGTATTTATAGGATTACTAGCGTTATTGTTATTAACCGGGTGTTTCAATAATAATATCGATATCAAAACGAAAAAAGTATTACTATTAAATTAATAGAAGTATTCAAATAGTTAGAAATATTACTTAGGTATATCGATTCTTTCTAAGAACTGTTGTTTCTAATTATTATTTAAGGCAACGGTAAATTAACTAACCTTAGCAGCGTTAAACCAGGAATCTATACGGGCGCAATATAGTACCTCTTCAAAACGGGCGATGAAGGCTGCTATAGATTCCTTAGAGCCGGGTTTTTAACGTAGTTAGTACAACTCTTACTTAACTCTCTTAATTATATTAGAGTTTCTATATATAAACCTAAATTTCGAAAATAGTTTAGAAGGCGATTGTAGGCCGTAGGCAGCAAAAGCAACGAATAGCTTCTTAATAAAGGACAATAAGCAGGCGAGTAAATAGTAAAACTGTACTTCTAAATCGCTAATAGCGAAGCTATCTATATAGAGTTCAGTTTATACGTTTAAAACCCAAATTTCGAAATCTTCTTTATTCCCTAAGAACTTTTTAAAGGTAGGGAGGACTAGCTTTTAGGTAGCTAGTAAGGTTTTAAAAGTAGCGAATTCGCTAAGTACAGTCTTAAAGGCGGTATTAAACTATTATATCCGTTCTTAGGGGTTTTAAGACTATAGAATCTATATCGGTACTATTATAAGAACGATTATTATAGATAGGAGAGAGATTCTTTAAGCATACCTATAAGAGGTCGGCAATAGTATTAACTTGAAAAGAGGGTTAAATATAATATAACGGGTCTATTAGAGTATTGTATAGCGAGCAGTCGTGTGTAGTTGAAATGCTATATTTAATAAAGAGAATAAGAAAAGATTATATTAGAGGGGTGTAGTTGAAAGAAGGTTTTAAAGTCGGGCGCACAGGCTAGGCAAATATATAGATCTGACTAATTAAGAGGCTCGTATCCTTATTAATACGACTAACCCATCTTAATAGACTTAGTAAAGCCGAATCTTTAATCCTAAGCGCTAGCCCTATAATATTATTTTATTAAGAGTTATAGACTTTACCTTTTTATTATACACTCTTCCTACTTTTTTTATATTAGAATAACCTAGTAGAGATATAATAGTAGTATAAGCACTTACTAAATTATATTCATATTAAGCTCGATCTTTACACTCTTGTATTTTATTATATCTATATAAGAATAACTTATTTCAACCTCCTCTATAGGCAGCTATATACAAAGCTATATAATTGGATAAATTAGCCGATTTTGCTTTTTTAGGCATTATTAATAACGCTAAATCGCTTATATTAATATTACCTATTATATAATAACCTTTATATCTAGCTTTTAACCATTCTAAGAGCATATAAGACTTAGCTATACTAGTTATAGTTAACGGCATACTTAATTTACTAATACTAAAGTAAAACTCCTTTATCTTATTACCGTAGCAATTAAAATTGCTAGAGAAAGTACTTCGAAGAAGCAACAAGCTAGCTTAGGCATTCGTTTTCTAAATAAAAAGATATTCGTATATATTGGGAAATTATAACTAATAGGGTAATAATTTAAAAAGTTAATAATATATGTAGGATTCCGTAAACTCTGCTCTTTATATTTTTTTAGAGAGGAGTTTTCAATAACAATTGTTCTCGTATAGTCCGCCCGGCCTCTAAGAGATAGATTGCTAGGCGATAATATAGGAGCTAGTTTCGGAGGTAGGCGATTATTTAAATTCTAAAGGGGAAAATAGATAATCGACAATTAAAAATCCGGAATAAACCTTAACTAATTTATGAATAGTAGAATAGAAGTAGTATAAAATAGTATTCAAACGTATAAAGACTTATTTTATTTTAAATTATTAAAGATTTCTATAATTTATTTAATTTAAATAAGGGGGTGTGGAAACCTTTAAGGTCTAGTATAATTCGTAGTAATACTATTGCGAATTATTAAATAGGTCGGCGGTAGGATGTAAATCCGTATTTAAAGAATAATTAAAAATAAAAATAGAAGTTTGAGAATCTTAAAATTTAGAACGGGAGCGATCAAAATTACTAGAGAAAATACTTTGAAGAAGCAATGAATTAATTTAGGCGTTCGTTTCCCGGATAAGAAGATATTTATATATATTGGAAAACTATAACCAATAGGGTAATAATTTAAAAAGCTGACAATATATATAGGATTCCATAAATTCTACTCTTTATATCTTTCTAGAGAGGAGTTTTGTTACGTAAAGATATACTTTACAAGTGATAATAATAAAGAATAATAGAATAAGTAATTAGTTACTAGATAGAGTAATAGTATATAACAATTAATAATAGTCTTATTAAAGGAAATTAAAGATAAGAGTTATTGCGAGCTTCAATTTAGGACTTCGTATATACTTTTATTAAATATAAGTAAAATAAACGTTAAGTTAGTATAATATTAATTAATAATCTATTAACCTTAATAGAGGTTAATAGGACGAGCACTCTTATATAATAAACTATACGCTCTAATAAGTAATTACTATAATAAAATAGAATATTTAGGTATCTATTAAGAATACCCTATAATATTTCCCCTTTAATAAAAGGAGAAGAGTGTTCGCAATTTATATAATATATTAAATCTAACTATATATATAAAAGATCCTATTATTTATTAGAGCCTTTATTTAATAATTTATATCTAAATTAACTGCCAAATACGTAAAGTATACGACCTTCCGAATAAAATACCCAGCTCGATAATCTAATAATAATCCTTTAGTAATTATAATTATAACGAACCGAACGTTCGTTAAACTCCTTATTATTTATCTCCTTATTCTTATTTATATAATATATATTTAAACGAGAATACTTGCGTCCTAATAGAAAATTCTCTTACTCCTAGGTATTAGGGAGGTAATTATAGTAAAGAGAGCGGGTAGTAGGTAAAGAACCGAAGCGAAAACTTAAATAAATTATTATAGAATAGAATTTATTAAATAAACCGGTTAAGCCGGGTATATATAATAGCGAAAGATTGCCGGAGCGAATACTACAAAGAATAGTAATACTAGAAATAGTATTAAATATACGGTTTCTACTAATAAATAAGGTCGGAGGGAAACGTTTAATATAAAGCTCCTACGTTTCTCTAAATTTAGTATAAAGAATTGTTAATTTTATTTATATCTTTTATATAATCTAATTCTAATACTTATTCGACGCTTTTAGTACTATAAATTGTATATTAAAAATATACTTTAATATATCTTTAATCTCTTTATAAGAAATAAAGCTGATAAGTATAATAGGTTCCCTATTAACTTTAGCAATATAATTAATTATTTTTTTAATTACTGAAAGTTTATTTAAAACTAATTTAATTAGTACTACCTAAATATAATAGAAATAGCCTAATTTTCCCAATAGACCGCTAATTTATTCGGGGAGGCTAGTACTATAATTAGAATATTAGATAGCTAGTAAGGTCGCTTTCGAAGGGATATAGTCGGTAAAATTAATATTTCCCTAGCTTTTCTTATTAAAGGCCAAATTAAAAGTAATTTTAATATTATAAATAAGCTTACTTTACGAGAAAGAGTAAGAATTAGTAAATTAACGTTTATATTCTTTTTTATTTTCTATATATACTTTAATAATTTTCTCGATTTTATTGCGCAATTCTTTATCGATTTTAATACTAAGATTAGTACAATTTTAATTATAATTAGTAAGGGCACTAGCGAAAGTTGGATATATTTTTCCTTTATTGCTACTTTCGTTAATAATAGCCGAATGTAACTATACAACCCGGGTCGGAGCTTTACATACCTTTCTCGGGGTTACTTTAATAATTAGAATTTTAATACGAATTAAAATAAGAATAGCCCTAATCGGTGGCTATAAAGCTTTACGAGCCTTATTGGTCAACTAAGCGATCTCTCGGATTTCTTAGATATTAGTAAAGTTAATATTACTACTTCTAATAATACAACTATTAGAATATATATTATAGTAGAAAATCTGGAGGCAGTTGTAAAAGCGTTAACTAGCGGTAATTAACTCCTTTATATATCCTTTTCCAAAGATTATATTACTATATTTAATAGTAATAATAGGAATTAAATTAAATATTCCTTTAATATATAACTTCTAAATCTTAGTATTATAAAATCTAATAAGAGTATTAAAGTCCTACTCTTATTAAATTCTATTACTACTATTAGATATTAAATCCTTCAGGAATATAGTCGATAAAAGTACGAACGTAAAGTAGGTAAAACTGCTATTAATAGCGTATAAAATTACCGAATTTATATTAATTAATTCGCTTGTATATTTAATAGTACTATAGAATATAGAGTATAATTTATTTTTATATTATATAAAGAGGTAATTAACGGTTATAATCGGTATTAGACGTCTTCTATTATCCGCCTTCTTAGGATTATAAATAAAAATACTTTAAGTAAATTAGAAGGATTTAGTAGGAAGATGGTTAAGCGGATTATAGATACTATAATTTTAACCGAAATTATTATTTAAATTAATAGTATATTTGTAATAAATATAATTGAAAAACTATCTAAGTTAGACTATATCTATTTATTCAATAAAATCGGCTATAAAACTAGGAAGTATAATATATATACTATTGTCTCCTAAATTGATAATTTTATTAGTAAGCCCGTTAATTGTATAACGGTTGAGATATTTTACTATATTAGTTAATACGCCAAACCGGGGATTATACTTTAAAGACTATAGGGCGAACTGCCAGTCTATAGTAAAACTATATAAATTATTATTATAATTAGAGTTATTAATTTAATTATTAAAAATTATACTTATATTATTAATAGACAGCGGGGATTCTATATTAATATTGATTATATTATTATACTAAAAGTGTAATTTAATAAAATTAGAATAAAGAAGGTAATAAATAATAATTAATTTGATAAAATTATTATATAAAGAAAACTATAATAGAATTGAGTAGTATAGGGATAGGGTAGGATATAATAAGGTTACTAAGGTAAAAAGGAGAGTCTGAAAGTAGCTAAATATTTTTAATTCTTTTGAAAGTTATATATATATATACTAAAACTCTTCCTTTACTAGTACTTACCTACCGGGGCCGTTTATTATATATAATTATAAGTATTATTACTTTTATATAATAGTATATACTTACCTAGTTGGAATAGAAAAAGTTTTAATTAAAGTTGTAAATAGCGTATAGTATATTATCCTATATACTACTAGTAATAGGCTTGCCTCCGCTTGGATATACTTTTAAGTAAAGTTCTAGAAATTTTAATAGAAAGTACGGAAAATATAATGACCTATAAAAATATATAATAAACAAATAATAGAAAATTTAAAATAAAAGGAAATATTCTTAAACCTTTATAATTTCCAGTGACCTTCCCCTTTTTCGACGAAAAGGTTGTCACCTCCTCTATTAATTTTAATATTATATCCAATAAAATATACTTCCAATACGCTAAATTACCTTTTTATAATTATTTTAGAATAGTAATTCTAACGGATATTCTACATTGAATACTTCTATTATTTCCTTTAAATTCCTTATAAATTTACTATATAGCTCCTATATATTATACTTATTTTAATATTTAATTTACTTAATTAAATACTATACGTTTAACAGACCCTAATTTTTAGTAATAAAATTTTCAATTTCCTATTCCTCTTACCTATCTATTTTAATTAGTAGCGGGAATAATATTTTGCAATTAAATAAATCCAGGCCTTGTACTAGCTTATAAAAATATACTATAAATATAATAGGATAGGTATACTAAGTACTAGGTAAGTTAAATTTATAAACTAACGGACTAATTTTTTCGAAAATATAATAGAGACCTATTCGCTTTATTAACTATTTCTTCTTCGGACTTCTAAGTAGATAATAGCCTTTCCTAAATTGTAAATGAATTTTATTATTTACTTTGAAAGTTA